AGAATGTCAACATATGAGTTTGGGGTGGACACAAACATCACCCCATAACATTTATGAGACATTCCAAAGTCTGATTCTGGACTGAGAAATCACCATTGCGACCGCTGGCAGGAGAGCCATTCTCGAGATGTGTGCAGTCTAGTTTCGTTGAGGAGACTAGAAAGGTGAGGGCCTCACGCTGGTACCTTCTAAACATGGGATTCTGCTTGCGAACAGTTTGTCAGATGAGGCACAGCATTTACTACACCGTGAATGCGGGAGACATCTGTCATATTCATGACTTTCAATCAACTTAAGCAAAGATTTTATTTTGTGCATTTGAAATGCAAGGGAGAGGGAAAAACAGGGAGAGATAGATAAAAGGAGAGAGGAGAGATCTTCCATCCACTGATTTACTGCCCACATGGCTCGAATAGCTGGAGCTAAGCCAGACTGAAGCCAGGAGCCTGGAGCTCTGTCTGGGTATCCCATATGGATGGCAGGAGCCCAAGGACTTGGGTCATCTTCTGCTACTTTCTCAAGCATGTAAGCAGGGAGCAGTTTCAGAAGCTGATCAGCTTGAACTCAAGTCAGAAATCCTATATGGAATGTTGGAGTTGCAGCTAATAGCGTAACATGTGGCACCATAACACTGGTGCCTTGTCATTTATTTTTTTTCTTAAAAGATTTATTTTTGTGGGCCCAGCACAGTAGCCTAATGGCTAAAGTCCCCACCTTATGCATGCCCGGGATCCCACATGGGTGTCAGTTCTAATGCTGGCAGCACCATTTCCCATCCAGCTCCCTGCTTATGGCCTAAAAAAACAGTCGAGGATGACCCAAAAAGCTTTGGGACCCTGCACCCACGTGGGAGACCCGGAAGAAGCTTCTGACTGTGTTTCACTGATTTGTCATAAACATTAGCAGGGAGCTGGATCAGAACTGTAGTAGCCAGGACTCCAAATGGTGTTCACACAGGATGTCAGCAATGCAGATAGGATTTTAACCCACAAAACCACTCTTCCCATTCAACTTTTGAGTAACTTTTCCTTACATGGGAATATTTGTATATAGTGGCTCCCTCCTCCCCAGTACTGAAGTCAAAATGCCAATTTCCAGACATCTTTGCAGCTGGGACTCAGGCATGTGGACTTGGAGTCTGACAGCCTGTTACCCCTACCTGAGATTCAACTCTGAAGAAAGCACCATGAAGATGCAGGTGGTGGCTGGAGTTTCCTCTGGGCCTGGACAGCAGCAGGCGCCTCACATCTCAGAAGTGAATGTCATTGGTTCCTGATTCAGAAATAGCATGGAGAGTGGTGACAGCGATGGTTGCAGAAAGGCCAAGTTCCTGATACCTAGTGTTCAGAGCCAGCAAGCACAGCGATCCCAGTCTCTCCACATGAGGTGACCCTGCAGCAGAGAGTAGGGTGTTGTTCCTGGAAACTTGACCTCACACCATTTCCCAAGTCCTTCAAATGATCTTTTATCCTCCAATATCCTTTAAGAACCCCATCTTCCTCAACCAGCCAGAGTGGATCCTGTGAGTAAACTGGAATGCCTGGTGCTGAATCCGTGGCATTTACACCAGGCTGTAATGTGCACCATCTCTGCAATAGAGAATGCTGGTTTGGACTACCCCGCTAATTTTCTTCTTGAGTCAGGTGCAAAGAATCATGGAAGGAAAGTGCCTGCCCATTTCTCTCTAACTCCCACTATCCTAGAGGTTGAACTGCTATTCAACTCCTTATTGAATTTTTATCATCAGCAGTTTGGGCAGGACTTAGCACACAGTGGGTATTCTGCAAATATCTAATGAATACATAAATGCCAAAATATATTCAACTGGATCCGTCATCTGGACCTTGCCTGTCCATGAATGATACCCACCAGCTGCACACAGCTATCAAACATTTGAAATATCACTAGTGCAACTGAGGAGCTAATCTTTGCTTTCATTTTAATTAACTTAATTGATATCTAATTCCACTTCTGGAAAGCTTTTGCTTAACTTGTATGTAGGCAAATGTAATTTCCCATTTGTAAATTTTATGAAAATCTAAATACAGCTTAGGTATTTCCAATAAGAAGTTAGTATTCAATTCGAGGCATTCTGCAATGGCAGGTATATACATCAGACTCCAAATAATATGACAAAAGAGCTTATAATACACCATTAATTGCATATTGATTATATGTGGAAATGATGATACCCTGGATAGATCAGGTTAAACAGAATATTATTAACATTGACTTTGGATCAGGCATAGCCTAGAGATTAAGACACCAGTTAAGATGCCCACATCCCCTATCAGAATGCCCGGGTTCAAGTCCCACTCTGCGTGATGCCAGCTTCTTGACACGGCAGATCTGGGAGGCAGCAGGTGAGGCTCAAGCAGTGGTCCTTGCCACCCACATGGGAGAACCAGATGGAGGTCCTGGGTCCTGACTTTAGCATGGCCCAGCCCTGACCACTAAGGGCATTTTGGAAGAAACCCAGCTGATGGGCTGGTTCTCTCTCAATCTCTCTCTCTCTCTCTCTTGCTGCTTCTTGAATTTAAAAAGTGGGTGAGTGGCTTCACCTGTTTCTTTTACACTTTTTAAAGATTTATTTATTTTTATTTGAAAATCAGAGGAAAAGAGAAAGACTGGGAGAGGAGAGAGAGAAATCTTCCATCTGCTGGTTCAGTGCCCAAGTGGCCACAACAGCCAAGGTTGAGTCAGACCAAAACCAGGATCCAGGAGCTTCATCCAGGTCTCCCACCCAGGTGATAAGGACCTAACCACTTGGGCCTTCCTCTGATGTTTTTCCCAGGCCATTAGCAAACTACTAGGAAAGTTAAAATTATCTATGAACTGTTGCCATATTTTGGTTGGACAGTGTAGATGTAGATGCTAGTGGGGGTGTGGCTCTTCAGTTAGAGGATGCTGAGGACATGTGACCTGCTTGCCCTGAAGGCTATCAGCCTAAGGCAGAGGCCTGGCCTCACCCTGTCACACTTCTCACCGCACCCAGCAGACCCCAAACCCAACAGGATGGAGTTTGGACAAGAGCTGCTACAACATGCATATGAGCAGAAGTCACAAATGTGGTGGTTGTTAGGATCCAAGCATGTAGCCTAGCAGGGAAAGAGCTCAAAGTGGGACCTCAAGCAGTGTTCTGTTTTCTATATACTCCAGGGTGACGTCTCCACGCATGCCCGTGGGATCGAAGCAGGATTCTCGGAGACCCCTTAGGACACTGATCTCCCCTCCCCCTTCTACTGTCTCAAGGCAAGGATGGAGAGTCTGAAACCCTCTGGGATGAGAGCTGTTCTAGTTGGTGCCAGAGCCAGGGTAAGTGTTAAATTTCCCATCTCCTTCAAGAACACTCCATCTCTCAGTTGTAGATGCCAGCAGATACCTGCCAATCGATTCTGACTTGAGAATCAAAGCCCCACTACCACCACCACCACCATCTGCCTCAAGGAATCATGCAGCCTACACCTCCCTTCCCTCAGAATTCTCAAGATCCCCTTCTGCCGACACTGGAAACTCATTCTGAGAAATTCGAGTTTCTCATTGTGAGACACTGGAATGCCAAAAAGCATTGCACCCCCTCATAGGGCCTCCCTGGCTTCTATTCACAGCTCCAGCAGAATTAAAACTCTAAACACAACTTGTCCAGGTGAAGGAAGGAGCATAAAGTTGTGTCTCTCTCTAGCTGCGAGAGCACAGACAGAACCACAGGACTTCAGGGGGCAGGGCTGGCACTGAAGGCAAAGCATTTGCTCTTTGCACCCCCAGCCTGAGCCAAGCAAAAGAGGAAACTGCCAGGGCACCCACCTGCAGTGGGTCTCCCACATAACACTTAGACCATACTCAGCTGCTCCCCTCAGCCACATTAGCAGGAAGCAGGCTCTGAAGTGGGATAGCCTGCACTCGAACTAACGCTCCAAGTCACAGGCAGCAGCTTAACCAGCTACACCACAACACCGTCCCCTGACAACTTTTCAGACAGGAAGCCCAGTCTCCAAAAGGTTTCCTTCCAGTCCATCCCCATTGGTACTCTTTTACCCAGTGAAACCAATCATTGTCACCTAAATGAAACAATCTGAGCAAAACACAGGAAGATAACTTTCATATTTTATTATATAATATTTGTCATAGGAAAAAAGCTAATTTATTTTCATTAAATACAGAAGCAAACTGTTAGTGTTGCCAAAGAGACTGCCTGCCCTGCAACAAGCTAACCACACCTGTTTGCCAACAAAAGCATTCCAAGAGCCCTTTGTTTTCTTTTTTTCAGTCCTGAGTTATTCATGCCTTTTGTCAGCACCATCTTACACATAGTAGGCATTGAATCAGTACTTGTTGACTGAGTGGGGCATTCTTTCATCTCTCTCCTCTATTTTGTGGCTCTAAACAGTATCTTGCAGGAAGCTCTCCCCACCCATCCAATCCTCCTGGTCAGGTGCCTTTCCACAGCCTTTGATGCCTCACGTTGGGAACATAGCATTCAGCCCTTTGATTCCTAACACTGGTTTGAGACACTCGCCCGAGGGGAAACACCCAGCTTGCAGAGGCTCAGCCACCAGGCAAGACACATGGCTTCAAACATGGAACCAGGAAAACAAAGTCAAGATTAAAAAAAAAAAAAAAAAGCCGGGCAAGCCCTGCCCCCAACGCCCCTGATGGTGCATTCTCTTCCAAGGCCCCTGCACACTTGGCTCCTCCCTTCTCTACTCCTCCAGGGTCCTTCCACACTCATCTGATCCAGCCACAGGGCAGGGCGGCTATAGGGTCCGCCCTGGGCTCCTAGGAGCGCGACTTGACCCCTGCACAACAAGGGTGCATGGGGACTGCCCCCCCTCCCTCCGCTCCAGTCTCACAAATCCCAATCTCTCCAGGCTGGAAGCGCCAAGGATCGTATCCTGCTACGTGCTTGTGAATACTGGGGACCTGGCCAGTATTCACCCATCACACAGACCCGGGCCGATGGGTGAGGTGAGAGAAGCAGCTGCGGGGAGCTCCCCCAGCCCACCCCAACGAGCAGCCCTGGCCATCTCCTGGGCTCCCGCGCCCCCTGCTGAGCAGGAGCGCCCTGCACGCGGGGCAAAGTCCGCCAGCCCCAGCTGGCGGGAAGCCGGCGGGCCTCCCCTTGCACCTCCGAGAGTCCAGAGGAGGAGGCGCAGCCTGGCGCTGCTGCTGGAGGCGTCCAAGGACACGAGGGGGCGGGGAGAGGCACCCTGCCAGTCTCCCCGTGCCCACGCCGGCGGCTCAGAATTTCTCGTCCAGCTCCACGCCTCTGTTGTCCTGGGCGCCCCCGCGGGCCGGGGCGGGGCTGCTGGCTCGCGATCCGCTCAGGTAGTTCTGGATGGCGGAGGCACAGTCCAGCCGTTCCATGATCGTCATGAGGTAGTGCAGCTCCTGCAGACTGCCGTTCTGCTCTTCGAACAGCTCCAGGATGGCGGCAGCCGGGCTGCGTTGGCAGGACAGGAACCTGGTCCCGGGGCGGGCCAGCAGGCAAATGAGAGGAGGGAGAAGAGGAAGGAAGTGGCTCCTCCTCTCGCTGCCTCTGGCACTACAGCAAAATCCACAATTCCCTCCCCCCAGAGTCCTGGTGCTTGCCCTGCTCTGGCCTGCCTGCCCAGGGCGCTGAAGCCTGCAAATGGCCTATTTTAAAACTCCTTCTATCTCCTGTTAGAGTAGGAGCTCCCAGGAGCTCATTCATCTTGCATCCCATAGTTTGCAAGTCAGAGCAGGTGCATAAGACATGCTTCAATAAACAGGTGACTTTTTTTTAAATCCACCTGTGCCAGGGGCCAGCGCTAGCCCCACCTCTCCAGGTGAAGCTTCTCTGATCTCTGCACTCAGTCTATGTGCTGGGTCGCAGCTCAGAGTCCTTCTCCAGCAGCAGCTGCGGAGCATACCTGCTCGGTTAGGATGCCCAACCTGCCTCCAGGAGGCCCAAGAAGGAGCAAGTGATGGCTCCACTACTTAGGTCCTTGCCACTTAAGTGGGAGACCAGGACTGAGCTCCCAGCCCCACCCTTTGCCAGCACTTGGAGAGTGAACCAATGGATGGTTCTTTCTCTAATTAATTAATGATGTTAATAAAAGGAATTTTCTCCTGCTGGTTTGTAAATTCCTTCATAGGGCTATGGCTGTGTGGCTGTTATGATTAACAACATTTATTGAATTAACCCGTGCCAAGCAACCAAGCATCCTTAGACATGCTATCCTATAGTATTGCCACTCTGCTCCTCGGGACACATCCTGGCAAGCACTAGGCAGGAATGCAATGACTTCCAGGGCGATTGATTTCTGATATACATTGGTTTAGGACCTACTAAAAGTCAAGCATCATTCTTGATAGGGAGGACACAGCAATAAACAGGAAGATTAACCTTTTTAGGGAGAATAGGGGTCCCCGACTTCCAAGTCACCCCCCTGACTGTGTTCTGAGGATGCCCTGAGCCCAGCCAGCCTCCTCTCCCATCTGCAGCCCCAGGCCCTCTTCCTACCGAATTTTCATGCCACAGAGCCCCAGATGGGAGGCCAGCCGGCGCCAGTCATTGCCCGTGATGCTGTTTGGCTCCAGCAACATCTGTAGCTGCTCAAAGAGCTCTGGGGGCAGCCTAGAGTGAGGGGAGAGGATGCTCTCGGAGGGAAAGGCCAAAGAGACACAGCATGGGAGACACACACGCACACTCACGCACGGCAAGTGCTAGACTCGCCCTGGGGACTCCCAGACTTCTCACGGGCAGCCTCCACCAGCAAGACCCACCCAGACATCTCACGGGCAACCCCCACCTCACCTGTTGCATGGAGGTGACTGGGACACGGGGGGCGGGGCTGCCCAGGATTCCTCCTCCGATGCCTGGAATCTGAGGATCTCCATGTACTTGGTCTCCAAGCCCTGAGTCAACCACAAAGGGGCAGGGAGTGATGGGGGAGGGGGGGTGTGGTAAGGTGGTCCCTGGGCCTACCTCTGTTCCTGGACCTGTTTCCCAGGGACACTTCACCACTACCACCATCACACTCACTCCCCTGGCCTCAGAACCCCACCCTCATCAGCCCCTCTGGGAGCAAGGACATGATGACCAAACAGTGCCTTTTAGGCCACCAGGAGGAGGTCTGAGTGGAATCATGGACCAGGGAGAGGAACAGAGACACTGAATTCAGGCACATCCCTCTGTTCCAGCCTGCCTGGCTTTCCTCCTGTCAACCTGGGAGTGTCTCCCTGCAGCTGGCTGCCACTGAACAGGTGGGTGGGATGGAAGATCGGTGCGGGAGTCCTCCAAGATTCTCCACCCTGATTGCATCCTGTCCTTGGGGCGGGCGGGAGGGGGAGATAGCCAGGTCCCATCCTAGCACCTCAAGACCTCTTTCCTATTACTCCCCCATCACAGAAAACATTGCCTCCGAGATGCAGGCTGTCATCCTAGAAAGAAACCACGTTTCCCCAAGCCCCAGTTCTCCCAAGTGGGGAGAAGGGATGATTCCAGTTTGGGTTTGTTCACCTCATGCTGAGTTTATGCATGGAAAATTAAGAAAAAGCAAGGCAGGAAGGCTGCCCTGGAGGCCAGGCAGGCTAAGCAACTCTAAGAGGCAGCGGCCCCAAACCCTTACCCATTGTACCCAGGCCATCCCCCTCCCCCAAGCCCTTCCCTCCCCCCTCCCCAGGCTCTTCCCTTCCTCTGCCCTTCAGCCCACTCACATCCTGGAAGGTGTGCATGGTGACAATGATCTCATTGGTTAGTGCAGAACAGTCTTCACTCTCATTGGCTGCAAAGAAAAAGTCGGAACATGGCTGCTGGGAGAAGAAGAGGCCCAGGGCAAGAGAGCTGGAGAAGTCAGTGAGAGTCTCCTGGAAGGCTTTGGAGCGAAAGTAGTGGAGACTGGGCCTGGATATTGTTGCCTCGTCTCTGTCAGGAGCTACTGGAGCTGCTGGGCTATAACAAGGGAGTGGCAGAGCTCCCAACCACTCCCCGGAAAGTGAGCAGAGAAGAGAGGTGTTGCAGGGGGCCTGCCGCAACAACTGGGCTACCTGCTTTTCTCCGGAAGCAGAAGGAACGGAAGGGGCACTTTCCGTGCCAGATGTGGAGATGGGGAACCAGCTGGCAGCTGCTGTCATCCACATTCTCCCAACCTGGGGAGGAGGCAAAGCGTGGGGAACTCAGGGACCAGTAGGAGTGAGTGGGAAGCGCCAGAGCCTGGGGGAGGAGGGACAAGAGTGAACTTGCTCCCATCCCACACAGTCACGACCCACCCCCCTTCACCCCCTGAAGCAGACACACTGTGTGCCCTGCCCACAACCTCAAAAACACAGGGGCCCTCACCAGAAATCCCAGGAGCGTAACCCACAAAGCAAAGAGGACCGAAGTAGAGAAGACTGGGATACCTCCATTTCCTGTCCTTCCCACCCAAAATCTGGCCTCATCCTGTCCTGGGGGCCCTGGTAGCAATAACTGAGTGGGCAACTGAGGGAAGAAGTTAAAAACCAAGAGATCTCCTTGAGTCTGGGAGAAAATGTTGGGATTCCAAAGGCCCAATGGGAGGGACCCAACACTCTCCACCTTAAGGGGCTCCCCTTGACCCAGCCCCCCACCTCCCTCACCCTCAGAGATGTACTTGAGCTTCAGGCACTGGTCGCCCCTGGCCCCAGCGAAGTCGAAGAGCTGGCAAGGCCCACGCAGGCGCCCTCCATGGGGCTGCTCGTTGGTCACAGCCCACTGCAGGGCACAGGGAGTGTTGTTGAGGAAGTAGACACGCAGCTGCAGGTGTGTCTGCCCCGGTGCGAGCGGCGAGCAGAAGATAGCTAGCTGCAGCCACTTGCGGGCAGCCTGCCCCCGGGGGGCCTCCAGCACGCAGGTGTACAGGCTGTGCAGGGAGAGGTGTGCAGGGTTGCCAGGGGAAGCAGAAACCCCAACCCCCAACTGCAAAGCACCCACTGGCAAGGGGGCTCTGTGGGGGCTTCCCCAGGAGGGAAGGAGAGCACGTGGCACAGGGGCGTATATGGGAAGGTACTGGGGAGGGGTGAGGCAGAGAAACAAGAGTGAGCATATGTGAGCAGGGTGGCACACCAACAGGTATTGTCTGGCAGGGGAGAGGGGGAAGGTGAGTTCAGGATCCCCATGCTGGACAGGGCTCCCACAGAGGAAACCTCTTCTGATCAGTGGATTGTCGGAAGATTGGAAGGGAGCGTCCCCAAGACTTCAGAAGGCAACAAGATGGAGAGAAATGAGATGAGAGATTCCTGAAGAATGTCAGGAGTGGGGCTGATTCTTCAGTGTGTGGGAACAGGCATGACAGAGGCACAGGGAGTAGTGGGATCATTTCAGAGCCAGAGGTGGAGATGAAACAGACTCCTCCAGACAGGCAGAGACAACCGTGGGATGCACCATCCAGCACAGGGTTGGAATGGGACCGTGGGGACAGAGGACCTGGAGAGGTACTTTGTGACAAAGAGTTTACAGGCTGTGCCAGACAGAGCTGTGCCATACGGAGAGGTTGGGGCGGGAGGCAAACCAAGGAGCACCTGCCTACCTGAAGTGGGACAGCTGGATACGACACTCATCCCGGGAGGTATACGCCCCCTGACGACCCAGGGGCTTCCAGGCCTTGCTGTCCAGTAGGGTGGTATTGCTGCTATAGATGCGGGCTTGACCAGGCTGCTGGGCACAGTGCTTGAAGGTCAAGATGCAAGGCTGTAGGAATGAAGCCCCATGGGGACCACATGCCACCACAGGGCTCACCAAGCCCTGGCTTCGGGACAATGCCGGTGCATCCGACAGATCCCACACTAGGATTAGGGACACCCGCTCCTGGCGGCCCACAGCCACAGCACCTGCAGAGATGGAGAGCTGGGATGGATTTTGAGTTTAAGTATTCAATTACCCCTGAATGAAGTTAGGCTAGAGTGTGGGGGAGGTGAGGTGGAGGTGGGCACCCAGTGGAGAGGGCACCCAGTAGGGCACATGCAGGGAAGCAGCCTGGAGTGAGACCACAGTGAGCCATGTAGGATATACTCTGAAGCAAGCCACAGCCCTTCTCCTCAAGGCCACCACCATCCCTCACAGGGCCTGGTATGAATTTATGAAGAGTGCTCTTTTTTCTGTTTATTGGAGACCTGTCACTGTGGAGTCATTCATTAAAACAGGCACTCTATTTCCACCTGCTGGGAAACTGTCCTACAAGATAGATGCTATGTCCGTCTTGGAAGTTGATATCTTCAGAAGTTGTGCCTTCAGAAGGGTGCAGATGTCTGGGGAATAGTGGGGTGCCCAAATGCCCAGGCTGCACACCTGGCTGCCAAGAAGGGAGTTGGGCGCCATTACCTGGAGGGATGAGCAGGGAGATGCCAGCATCCTGGAGCATCAGGTAACCGCCACGATGATCCACCTCCCGGGCAGAGAATACAAGCAGTTTGTGCATTAGCTGGCGGACGATGGTCTGGCCCTGGGTGGGCGTGTGTAGCTCCTGGTAGAAGGCAGCCATCTCTGACAGAGTGGCTGGCGGGCACTGCCTTGGGGGCTCATCCTCTGGCAGGGGGATGGGCTGGGATACTGGCTCCTCTTGGGCATCTGGCTTCCGGCAAGCCCCTGACAGCCACCAAGGACAGTGCCATCGAAGGCACTGGACCAGAAGGAGGATGCTGGCCATGGGAATGCCCACCAGCAGGAGAATCTGGGAGGGCTGGAAGAAGGTTTCCTGAGCACACATCCACATGGTCACTCGGTGCTGCTGGCTCTGCTGCACCCCTGTGCCAGCCAATGTCCTGTGGAAAAGATGGAGTCAGAGCCAGGCACAACTTTGGGTAAGTGGTAGAGGTCAAGGTTTGATATCCAAAGATGACGACTGAGTCAGATCTCCCACCATCAGTCTCCTCACGGGAAGACCCATTTGAAAAGCTTATTCATGTACCAAGCAACCTTTCCAAGGGGGAAGAAGCCTGGTGAGGGGTCATAGTGGTTTTAGTGCAATAAAAACAGAGTGAGCTGCATCGCCTTATTTTCTGACTATAAGCAACACAAATTGGAAAAGATGCCTCCTGCTCAGGTGCAGAATGGGGAAGGATAAGGTCCAAGCCTTAGGGCCAGGTCTGCTATAGTGAATCTAGAAGTAGACCTGATTCCAAGTCAGTGTCTGCACACTGAGCGTCTGGAAGTACATTAACCAGTTGGCCAAGGTGTTCCCTCCACAGCCTGTCCTAAACCTCACCCAGTAAAGTGTGGAGGAAGACTCACCACTGCGGAGTGAGGCAGGAGTATGAATCCAGCACTGGGTGGTGCAGAACAGGGAGATACACATGGGGAAGCAAGCACCTGGCATCTGTTGTTCAATTTCTCAAGGTCAACCCTGAGCCAGGAGGGACTTGACCCCACCAAGAAATGTTGAAAAAGCTGCACAGACACTAAAGTGCCTACCTTAACCCAAAGCCAGCACAATATACCACCAGCACCCTGGAACCCTGCCAGCAGAAAATCCTTTACTGTGAAAATCACTCCACAAAACTAGTAGAAGCAACTGCTCCACCAGAAGCCAGAAAACCATCCCAGTGACACAGGAAGCATGAAAAAGGGGGAAACGTGACATCCCTAAAGGAATGTAACAACTCTCCAGGTGCTGATCACAAAGAAATGGGGAATCAAAGAATCTTCCAACAAAGAATGCCAAAGAATAATCTCAAGAAAGCTTAGTGAGACACAAAGCTAGACCATTTGAGAACATCAATGATAGGAATTAGAAAGTGATCAAAGAGAGATCATTAAAAAAAAAAACCAGAGATTTTGATGCTAAATAATTCAATAAGTGAAGTTTAAAATAGAATGGAAAGCCTCAACAACAGAACTGAGCAGACAGAAGAATTTCTGAACTTGAAGACAGTAGCAGGTCTTGTGAAAAAACCCAGTGAGCTAAAAGCAAATTTTAGAAAAAGAAGAAAACCTTCAAGACTTAGTGGACCCCAGGAAGCAAACAAGCACTCACATCATCCAGTATTCCAGAAGAAAAGAAGAGAAGATGTACAGAAAACACACTCGATGGAAGAATTACTAAAAAGTTTTCCAAATTTAGGGCAAGACTCAAATCCAGGTCCAGGAAGCCCCAAGAACCTCTAACAAATTCAACCAAAAAAAAAATTTCCAAAGTATATTATAGTCAAATGGTCAAAAAATAAATTATTGAAAAGCTAGACTTCTAAAAACAACATAAAAAAAGTGTCAGACCATTTATAATGGAGTGCCCACTAGATTAATCGCAGACTTCTTGGATAAAACTTTACAGGCCATAGCTGGGCATTGGGCATGGAGTAACATGCCTCTTGGTACACTCACATACCACATGGGAGCACCTGGTTTGGCTACCTCTGCACCTGACCCAGCTTCCTGCTAATGCCTACCCTGGGAGCCTGCAACAATGGCTCAGGTGCTTGATTTCCTGCCACCCAAGGAGAGGACCTTGGATTGACTTCTAGGATTGTCCAGCTTTCACTGTTGCAGACATTTGGGGAGTAAACCAGTAGATGGAAGAATTCTGTCTCTTCCTCTTGTCTTCTCTTCTCCCCACCCCCAGCTCTCTGCCTTTTATAAAAAGGGAAAATCAATTAATTTTAACTGAGGGGGGAAACACACATGCCAGGAAAGGGTGGGATGAAACACTCAACTTCTGAAACAAAAAATGCCCTCACCCAAGGATTCTATACCCAACAAAGCTAGCCTCTACAAATGGAGGAAAGCAAAAATTAAAGGAATTAATCTCCACCAGATTGACTCAAGAAATGCTTAAGGGTGGCCTATATTAGAAGTGAATTGGTAGTAACTGTCAAGATGAGAACACGCAAAAAAAGCACAAAATTTGGGGCTGTTGCTGTGGTATAGTGGGTTAAGCTGTCAAGTACATGGCTGGCATCCCACATTAGTGCCAGTTGGAGCTGCTCTTCTTCCAAATCAGCTCCTGCTAATGTGCCTGCACAATCAGTGGAAGCTGGATCAACTTCTTTGGCCCTCATATCCACCTGAGAGACCCTAATGAAGCCCCTGCCTCCTGGCTTCAGCCTGGTCCAGCCCTGGCCATTGTGGCCATCAGGGAAGTAAGCCAGTGGCTGGAAGATCAATCTCTTGCTGTCTCTGTAATTCTGCCTTTAAAATAAATAAAATAAAATAACTTTTAGCTCACAGTGCTATAGTTTAGTGGCTAAATCCTCATCTTCCATACACCAGGATCCCATCCAGCTCCCTGCTTGTGGCCTGGGAAAGCAGTAGAGAATGGCCTAAATCCTAGGGAATCTATACCCACATGGCAGACCTGGAAGAAGCTCCTGGCCTCAGATAGGCTCAGCTCCAGCTATTGTGGTCACTGGAGAGTGAATAAGCACATGGAAGATCTTTCTGTCTATCCTTCTCTCTGTAAATCTGCCTTTCCAAGAAAAATAAATATATCTCCAAAACAAAATCCTTTCCTCTACCGATTTAAAAATACACAGTGTTGCCTGCACATACTGTCACCCTGCTATGCAGTAAAACAGCTCAACTTGTTCCTCCTGGTTCATTGCATCCCTCTCTAATTTCCCCATTTCCTCTCCTCATCCCTCCACAACCTCTTGGAATTGCTATTCTCCTCTCGACTTGTATGTGATACAGTTTTTAAATCCTGCATTTAAGTGAAATTATGTGGTGTTTGTCTTTTGCACTGGCCTTATTTCACCTAACACAATGCCCTCCAGGCTCACCCAAATTGTCATGAATGACAGAATTTTAATTTCTTTCTGTGCTTTTCTGTTGTGCATAGCTACCATTTTTCATTTTGTTGTTGTTGTTGTTGATGGATCTGTGGGTTGATCGCATGGTCTGGCAGTTGTGAGCAGTACTCCCATAGACATGGGATGCAGATGTTTTTTCAACAAAATGGTATCTCTTCTTTTGAATATATAGCTAGTAGAAGGATTGTGAGATTAAAAGATAGCTCTATTTTTAATTTTTTGAGAAGACATTAAATAATTTGACAATTTATGTGAAATGCACAAATTTCTTCAAAAACAACTGCAAAAAAATTAATGTGAAAAGAAAATCATTCCTTTTAATCACCTCATACTCTTTAAGAAATTAAATTCATTTTAAAAATCTCCCCTAAAGTTAACTTAAGGCCTGAATAGTTTTACTATTGAATTCTACTAACCTTTAAAAAAGAATAACAACATAATAATATGTTCCTTCAGAATACAGAGAAATATCAAGCACTTTCCAACTCATTGTAAGAAACCTGCATAACTTTGATATAAAAATCTAATGAGTATAAGAAAAAATGTATAATATAATCCTGAATAATACCGGTGAAAACTTTTAACTGAGTATATAGAGAATCAAATCCAAAAAAAGGGTAAAATTAAAACATGAGCTATTAGATTTTTCTGTATTGATGTATCTTCTTTGTCTTCTAATTGTGATTTTTAAGAGATTTTTTAAGATTTATTTATTTTTATTAGAAAGGCATATGTTACGGAGAGAAGGAGATAGAAATAGATCTTTTGTCTGATAGTTCACTCCCCAAGTGGCTGCAACAGTCAGAGCTGGGCCAATCAGAATCCAGGAGCTTCTTTCAGGTCTCCTACATGGATGCAGGGTCCCAAAGCCTTGGACCATCCTCTACTGCTTTCCCAGGCCACAAGCAAGGAGCTGGACGGAAAGTGCAGCAGCCAGGAAACCAACTGGTGTCCATATGGGATCCTAGCCCATGCAAGGTAGGATTTAGCCACTGAATCATCACGCCAGACCTGAAGAAAGGATTTTGAATGGCCCATAACAAAGAAATGAGAAACATTTAAAGTGATAGAAGTGGTAATGACTAATTTGATCTTGGCACAACGTATACCTGTGTAAAACATAACATTGTACCCCACAAATATGTATCATTATGTGCTGACTGAAAACTGTGTTCAACCAATTCACACAAGCAAAGCAAAGCCTTGGCATCTAGGGAACTGCACAAGGGAGCCAGGTGCCTTTATCCCAGGGCACCAGCACACCCCAGTCAGATCAGTTTCTCTACGTAAGCCTCACCCCGTCCTTACTCAGAAAATCACCACGGCCCTTCATGACCAAGGAGAGCTCCTCTGACACAGAAAAAAATTGGGTCTGGACTTAGAGGAATGAGTTTAGAAGCCACCATGGCCTCTGTGGGAAGCTCATCCTGTTGTTTAATGTGCCTCATTCTCCTCTTCTGCTGGTAAAAGTGCTAATATAGAAAAGTGTGTGAAAGCCCAGCATCGTGGTGTAGCAGGGTAAGCCATGAGATACCGTCGTCTCATGTTCAAGTCCCGGCTGCTCCACTTCCAGCCCCACTTCCTACTAGCGCACCTGGGAAGGCAGAGGAAGACAGCCCCAGTGCTAGGTCCCTGCCAGGCACATGAGACTACGATGAAATTCCAGTCTCCTGGGTTCCTCTAGCCATTGTGGCCATTTGGCAAGTGAACCAGCAGATGGAAAATGAAACAAGAGAAATCAATACCATATTTTTTTTAAGATTTATTTATTTTTATTGGAAAGTCAGATATACATAGAGGAGGAAAGACAGAGAGGAGGATCTTCCATCCACTGATTCACTCCCAAAGTAACCACAATGATTGGAGCTGAGCCGATCCAAAGCCAGGAGCCAGGAACTTCCTCCAAGTCTCCCACTTAGGTGCAGGGTCCCAAGGCCTTGGGCCATCCTCAACTGCCTTCCCAAGGCACAAGCAGGGAGCCGAATAAGAAGTGGGGTCTCCGGGAAACAAACTGGCGCCCATATCAGATCCTGGCTTGTGCCAGGCAAGGACTTTAGCTGCTAGGCTACCATACCAGGCCCAATACTATATGTTTTTAGCCCAGTATATTTGAAATGCTATTATTTCAACAGATAAGCAATATCAATGTATCAATGAGCTGTTTTCCATTTTCTTTCCGTTCCAAGCCTTTGGAACCTGTGTGAATTTTACACATGTGGCATACCTCACCTGGAATTTGCTGTGTTCTTAGAGTGCAGCAGACATGTGGCCTCATGCTTGCCACCCCAGACAGGGCATGTCTGGAAGAACACACCTGCAGACCATTCTCATGGACCACAACTCAAAAACACAACCACCTGAGAGGGTGGGAGGTGTGAGCAAGAACTTTGAATTGCCTTAGATCACATTTTCTATATTCTTTGAATTCCTCATACAAGTCATTTTTGTATTAACTTCAAATTGTTTCTGAAAGCCAATAAAAGGAAAAAAATGATCATTCAGATGAGCATGGGAATGGCTTGAGAGCACACAGAAAGCATTTGTAGATGATAAAACAGTGTCCTGGTGTGTTTGTTGATGCCCTTCCTTCTGCCAGGAAGAACTGCAGGGAGCTCACAGGAGACACCCAGTGGGAGCATAATCAGAGTTAACAACAGTAGAAGTAAAACAAGGAGGGAGGGGGGGAGGGAGTGAAGAGTGAGGGAGGAAGGAGAAGAGGAGGGAAGGAGGAAAGAAAGAAAAAGAGAGGGAGGGATGAAGGGAAGAAGGAAGGAAGGAAGGAAGGAAGAAGGAAGGAAGGAAGGAAGGAAGGAAGGAAGGAAGGAAGGAAGGGAGGGAGGGAGGGAGAGAAGGAGGGAGGGAGGGAGGGAAGGAAGGAAGGAAGGAAAGAAGGAAGGAAGGAAGGAAGGAAGGAAGGAAGGAAGGAAGGAAGGAAGGAAGGAAGGAAGGAAGGGGCAGGGAAGAAGGAGAGAGGGAGGGAGGAAGACAGAAATGAGGTCCCCCAAGGGGGCACCTGTGTCCCCTCCAATCTCTGCCTCCCACCCTCCTTCATTTCCAGCACCCACCCCCACACCTGGCTGGTTCCAGTCTCCGCCCTTCATCCCAGCTCTGTGTTCTGCTGCTGCCCTCCCTTGCCCTACCCATCCATTCATCTGTCCTCCCGGACAGCCCCTCAGCGCCACAGCACACACACACACACCCCTCCACCCCGACACACCTGCCTTTGACAATGGCAGCTCTGGTTGTTGCTCTGCCCTCCCACCACACAGTGATTCTGGACCCTATGCCATCATTCAGGTCATTCCTGCTCAAATGAATGTGAGCTGAGCACAGGTCATGTATCGGATACAACAGGTAGTACAGTCCTCAAGTCCTCAGGGGCCCTCTGGGAGCTGACCCACTGCTGTCTGCCCTGGAACAGCTTCTGGCATCCACTGCACCCCCACGTGCCCACCCTTCCTAGCCCCTCCCATACAGGGGCAGAAGCTATCTGCCTACCCCCACCACCCTCAGGGTTAAAGACCCAGGCAAGACGGGTAGTGGAGGCCAGGGATGTTTCCGTGGCTCTGAAGTCCAACTCTGCAGGGCCGGGGGGTGGCGGGGGGAGGCACAGCCCTCACTGGACCTCTCACAGAGCGCACAGAGGAACTGGAGAAGTTGACAGTGCCCTGAGTGTGGAGGATGCGGGGGTGGCGGCCTGGAGTCCTCACTGCTGCTTTCGCTTTTGCCACATCAGCAGCCTTGCAATCCTCACTGTACTACTACTAGGGCTCTTGGAGCTACACCACGTGCCACCGTGGTAAAGCCCTTGCTGTGGCTCTCTCGCTGGATCCCTTTATCTGCCTTTCACAGATCTTGAAGCCAGATTTTCCTCCCTGGATGAGGATGGGGGCAGAGGGTTTCACAGCCACACTAGGAAGACAGGAGACAAGATTGAGCAGGGATGACAGGCCCTCCATCGCATCTTCTCCCCCAGTTCTCCTTTCCTCCTTGGAAGACAAGGATAAAAAGAAAGGGACATCAGGGCCCATACTGGTTCCCACTCCCAGGGACCCTCCCACTCCCTGGCCTGCAGTGTCCACCACAATAGCAAGGGGAACAGGTTGCTCAGGGGAAAGAAGTGGGGGGAAATGGCTCACTGTTGCCATAGCAACCACCTTGCAGGGGGCCAACTCCTACTGGGTGGTACAGCAGGGTACCCTGGTTCTGGTGCCACTGCTCCCACTTCCGCAGCCCTTCAGGGCCTCCCAGGGAAAGCCTTCATTATCCCGACCTGGGAGCGGCGTAGCCCCCTGGGACACCGGGCAGCCTCAGCCCCCTGTCCTGGAAGTGGGGAAAGGGAGGTGGAAAGCCCCCCGGATTTGGCCGAGTGACACCTGCAGCCTTCCAGGAAGGAGTACAGGGTGCCAACTCCATGTGCCGCCTCCTGTTACCGCTCCTCCCTCCCGTGTTTCTTGCCCAAGGCATCAGGTCATCTTCAGTAGCCTTTCCTCCACTTGCAGTTCATGGAGGATGCTGGCACCCCCTGTCCCTAGGCGCTGGCTCCTGTAGCAGATTTCACTTTGTGGTCAGTTAAGGGAGCACTCAACCTGCTCCCCCACCCACTTCCTACACCTCCCTAGCACCTGAGCCATCACAGTGAAAAGTACGGTGATGATGCGATGCATCCCAGTGTGAGCCCCTGACGGACGGGCTCACCAGCACACCACACACGTGTTCAAACACACTCATCCGCCCATTCTTCCCTTCAGCTCCTGGGTAGTGGCCCTTGCCGGGGTTTCCTCCTCCTAAAATAGGCTCTGCAGGCCTGGCCCTTCCCCACCTAGCACCAGGTGACCACGACTCATGCCACCTACCTCCAGTGGAGCTGTGCTCAGCTGATCGTCCAGGTGCTCTCAGAAATTGCTGCTGGGTCCGGAAAGAGAAGTTCCTTCTCTGAGAAACAGAGAGGCCAGGAGATGGGCGGGGAATGCAAGCAGGAGTGGCCTGGAGCTTCCCGCCACAGCCCTGCCTCCCAGCAGCCCTGAAGAGAGGTAGGGGAGAGTGACCTTGCCTACTGGCAAAGTCAAGCCCAGGCGGGGAAATCAGGCAGAGGATCTCAGAGGCCAGTGGACTGGGCCCTGTTAGGTCAGAGGGAAGTCGGGGAGAGATAGAAAAGGGGAGCCGGAGACAGGTGTTGCACTTGAAACCCCTCCCTACAGCGACCTCTGCTGGTGAGTGGTGGCCCAGACAAAGGCTTTCAAGAGGCAAAAACCCTTAGCCCGAACTTGGCCAAATTATAAAGTGTACAGGAATCACCTTGTTAAAATGCGGTAGCAGTGAGGTGAGACTGGAGTCTGCAGCTCTGAGAAGCTTCGCGGAGATGCCAAAACAATTCTCCAGGACATTTAAACAGTTCTGCCCTTCAAGTCCCTGTCTGGGCACTCAATCACTGAGATAAAAGCCCAGGAAGTCACTCTTTTTTGATTAGCTCATCAAAACTGTACTTATATATAGGCTATGATGTGATTTTTCTTTTTAAGATTTATGTCTTATTTATTTGAAGGCAGACTGACAACAAAAGGGAGAGACAGAGTAAAGATTCTTCCATCCTCTGATTCATTCCTCCCAAAGTCCCTAGTAGCCAGGGGCTGGACAAAGCCAAGGGCCTGGAATTCCATCCAGGTCTCCCACGTGGGTGACAGAGGCCCAAACACTCGGGCCATCCTCCACTGCCTTCCCAGGTGCATCAGCAGGGAGCTGGATCCAAAGTGGAGCAGCCGGGACTCGAACAGGTGCTCTGAGAGAGTGCAAGGACCACAGTAGTGTGATGTTTTGATACTACATGCATTGGGTCCTCAGCGAAAGAGGAGAGGCAGCCTAGTCATCATCTCAAATGCTTATCTTTTCTTTGAGAACATTCAAATCCCTTTTTCTTGTGCTTTTGAAATTGTCCATGCCTTTTTTTCTTTAGGTACACACTTATTTTTTGTTTATTTGTTTGTTTTTTACAGGAAAGTGGGTAAAATCATTGTTTCCACATTTTTTTTTCAGTATCTGGGGTCAGGGGGTAGGTGAAGGGAGAAGCCCCACCCAGCCTTCCATCCATCCCAGGCGCCCAATGTGGGGCATGCACCGAGGGTCCTGCTGAGGTGGTTTTGATAGCTCAATAGTTCTAAATTCCTGCCAATCTCGCCATTTCAGGCATGATAAAATTTCTGCAGAATCCACTGGCTGACAGAGTTCACTTTAGAGTCTCCATTTGCCCAGATTTTCACTGCCAACACATGGCTGAGGTAATTAATTGATTTGTTCTGTTCTCTGTTGTGGTGCCAGGTGTCCTCTGCAGGTTCCTATGGACTGCCTCTCCTCCATGTGCAACTGGGTATGCTGTCACTGCTCCGTCTGAGCTTCTGAGGAGGCTCAGCTTTGACACATGCACTCCATGGTCAGACCATGGAACCTGCACTTCTCTTCATGGTTGGTTCTCTCCATGCCTTTTTTTGTTGAACTGGCTGCTCCCCATCCACCTGTGACTGTGAGGAGGCTCAGCTTTGACACATGCACTCCATGGTCAGACCATGGAACCTGCACTTCTCTTCATAGTTGGTGGGCCATGCCTTTTTTATTGAACTGGCTGCTCCCCATCCACCTGTGACTGTGAGGAGGTGGCTCTGGGCAGAGGCGCTGAGAAGACTGGAGCTCAGCAGCTGCTGCTGGTGGCCCTGCTGGGGTGGGCGCACATCTTCTCACCACCCAGTGCTCTTTCCACTGCCCACACTTGGAGATGACAAGGACACTGCCTGTGGAGAAAGAGTAGAACTTTGGGGCTGTTTGCAAGTCTGCATTCTTGGAGTCTGCCAGCAGGGAAGGTACCCCCAGTAAGGAAGTGTCCCCACTGTTTGCTAGGTCTCCTCAGCTCCCACTACAGATGCTACTGACTCAGTATCACATGAAGACTTGAATGAATGAATGAATGAATGAGTGAATGACCAGGCGGGAGGGAAGAGGATGCATTTGAGCTGCTCACCCGGATGATCCATTTGCTGGCCATGTACTTTTTAAATTTTTTTTATTAAAGAGCTATTTATTTTTATTGAAAAGACAGATTCAGAGAGAGCATCCATCTGCTGGTTCACAATAGCCAGAATTGAGCCAATTCAAAGCCAGGATCTCCCACACGGGTGCAGGGTCCCAAGGCTTTGAGCCATCTTCCACTGATTTCCCAGGCCACAAACAGGGCGCTAGATGAAAGCAGAGCAGCCGAGACACAAATCAACCCCTATATGGAATTTCAGCCATATAGTGAAGGATCAGCCAATTGAGCCATCACACCAAGCCCCATACACATTTTTTTTTTTAAAGATTGATTTAAAAGGCAGAATCACAAAAAATAAAAGACACAAGAGAGTTCTTGTAGCTGCTGGTTTACTCACCTAGTGACCTCAACAACCCAGGCTGACCCAGGTGAGAGCCAGGAACGCCATCCAGGTCTTCTCCGTGGTTAGCAGGATCCAACTACTCAGGCCATTTTCTGCTGTTTTCCCAGGCCATTAGCAGGGACCTGGATCAGAAATGAAACAGCTGGAACTCAAACTGGTGTCTGCAGGCAGCTGCCTTACCTACTGCACCAGTGTCGGCCTGGGCTGTGAAATCTTCAGCATGTAACTTGGACCCTCTCGGCCTTCAATCCCTTGTCCGTCAAATGCAGATTGCAACATCCACCTTCTGTATACTCGTCCATGTCGTTTCTGAGCTAATCCTTGCAAGGTGCCTGGTAAAGGGTCAAAACTGTCCTGATGGTCTGACCTCCTGCAGCTGAGGAATTGTGGGCTGAACGCCCCCTATCAGCCTCCCAGCCATCACCTCCTATAGAAAACAGAGAACTTCCACCATTCCCGTGGCTTCTATGAGATCGGAATGTTCCCACTCCATGTGTGCATGTGACCAGGTAGCATTTGTCTATCCGAGATTGGCTCAGTCACTAAACAGAATGTCCTCCAGCTCCATACACATTACTGCAAATGGCAGAAATGGCTTGTTTTATAAGGCTGAGTTGTGTTCTGTTCTGTTGTCAGTCAATGACCCTGGATGGATTTCATATCTTAGTCATTACAAATAATACTGTCATAAACAGGGGAGGGCAGACATGACAGCCTCTGGTAAGTGGACAGGCAGGTCAATGGGTACAAAGTTACAGTTAGATGGGGCAGTTAGAGGCGCAGTCTGGGGACCTAGTGCCTGGTCGGGTGACCACAGTCCACAGTAAGGCACTATATATAATGAAACCACTAGAGCCAAGAATTTTGAAAGTTCTCACCACAAAGGAATGGTCATAAATATTCACAGTGGTGGACACACTAATTACTCTTAATTTAATCCTTATACCAAGTATACCATGATCAAAATGTCACATTGTACTCTACCAAAAAAAAAAAGGTACAATTCTAGGCACCAAAGATAAAACAAAAAAACGAAGTGTTTTCCTCTACTGTTTTTGTACTTGCCCCTGACTCTAACACCCTCCCCTCTGCTTCCTTCGCTGGGTAGAGATAAGAAGGTACAAGACACCCTGGCCCAGGGAGTCAGGCTGGGGAGATGCGAAGGCACAGTTGGAGAACAGCCAGCCTGGGAAGATCAACCCAGCCACGTGATAAGCCAGGGTGAGGGAGGGAGAGGAAGTGGTCTCAAAACGCTGGCAGGGAGCAAAGCGAGCAGGGATTTGTCTTCATAGTCCAGAGCTCTGAGTTATCTGAGAAGTTTTTGCAAGATCTGTTGAGCCAGAGTTCCAAACCAGGGAGAGGTATGTTCATTGGCAGGCACCAGCACCCAGGCCCTGTGTCCACAATCATGAACTCATTTCCAAAGCTGGAGTTTGTCTCACGTGGGAGCAATTTCACTTGCAGGAAAGTTCTGGTGAAATTTGAGGACCCCTACCCACCACCTGCCTTCCCAGGCACCTATAGTTACTTCACAGAGTGCAGACACCATGGACACCAAGAATGTGTTGACCTGGAGCTGAGCTGTCAGAGGAAGCCCAGGCCTTACCGGATCAAATTCTCAAGCTACTGCATCAAGGCACTCCCTCTAGAGGCCAGCCATCCACTAGCATCTGGCAGACTAGGGTAGCTCTTTGGAGCCACTGCAAGCAGCAACCTAGACTCCCCAGCCAGTGTCACCACCCTTGTCATCTGAGAAAAGCAGATTGGCTGGGAACCCCACCCTTCACTCCTCCCTGTCTCCCACCTTCCATGCATCATACATCATGAGGCACTAGCCTGGAAGGGGTGCTGCCTAGGGGAGGCAGAATTCAAGCCCCTGGAACAAGGAGGTACTGGGAATGGTAAACAACAGGAGGAAAAGGGGTGGGGAAGGGAGGACCAGCCTGTCCCACACGGGACAGAAAATTAATGGGAAAAAAACTAAGTTACAGAGACACATTGATGGCAAGGAGCAGAGAAAGGCAAATGGGCAGATGTCCAGGCAGGTGCACTGGTCAGCCCTGCTCTAGGAACCTCCAGGACAAGGGTCCTGACCCTTGACAAGAAAGGGTGGTTTAAGCGGTTATTCCTAAACTAGGAAATAAGTACTTTTTTCCCTACAGTTTCCACCAATCATGGGGAAGGACACTGGAGTACCTTGAGCAAATGAGAATGATATTTGGTGAGGCTTTGGTTGGAGGAGAATCTATACATCAACTACATGCAAATGACAATGCAACATAGTAGGCAAATGAGCATGGCTGCTATTTAATCAAAAGTCAGACCTTTTTTTTATTTTTCAAAGAAACTCAGCATTAGATTAGCATCTGCAACCGCTCCTCTGGCAATGGAAAGGTGTAGGAGGACCCCCAAGTCCTGAGGCTCCAGGAGTCAGTGAGAATGCAGGCTGTGGAGTGAGGATATCCCAGTGTCGGTTGAGGCCAGCCTGGGTGGGCTGCGGGCAAGTGCCAACCTGGCCTGGTGAGATAAGCCTGGGGCCAAGGGGTTGGCCCAGCTGGGGACTAGAACAGAGACCCAGGAGCCTCTGGCTCCTGTTTCAGAATGTGATCCTGCCACGTCGGTCACTGCCAGCTCAGGTGAGATATTGTTGGCCTCCTCATAAACCTGCTGAGATGGTTAGCAAGATGGTCACACCCGACCCTGGTCTCCAGAGAAGAAACCTGGAAGTAGTTACCAGCAGCGGGCAGTGTCCTCCGAGTGCCCAGTGAGAGGGGTAGAGAGTGAGTTTGTGGAAGCCGGAAAACAGGCAAAGTGGGGGCAGGCTGGAGATGGCTCCAGACCAGGGAATGCCCTCGGGTTGGGCCCTAGAGACTGACAAGGAGACAAGGCAAAAAGACTCATCATGAGCATCCTCTCTGTCTCACCAGGTTTGTCTCCTCCGGGTGAATGCGGCCTCAGGGGGCTGTCTTCGTGGTCCTTCCCCACCTGGGGCTCATCCTGGTCTGGCTGTTCACCAGCAACCAGATGTCGGGATGGTGTGAGGGCCCCCGGAAGCTGGCCTGGTGCCCACCATACAAAGTTGTACTGCTCGTGTGGACCACCATCTTCTTCATCATTGGGTAAGCACCTGCCCCTCCCATGGGGCCCTGGGACCCACTAGAGTGCGACTCAGACCCTGTATCCTGAGTTCCACCAGCACACACCAGCTCACAAAGGGGTGACACCCAGCTGGCCTTCTGTGATAAATGCCCCAGATAGAAAGGCCCTGTGCCTGCTACGAGGGCAGCCAGTCATCCCCAAGCTCCAAGCATCCCACCTCCACTTCACCATGCCCTTCCCCTTTCACCACCTTTCCCATCTTCCCCTAGTGCCCACATTTCAGCCCACAAGGGTTCCTTCTTGGGAGCCCAAGGTCCCTATGGTCTCCTCCAACTACTCTCCTATTGAGTGCTTCGTCGATCCTTTCTCTCTACAGCTATGGCTCTTACCTGGTGTGGAAGGACCTGGGAGGGGGCTTTGGGTGGCCCCTGGCACTGCCCCTCGGCCTCTATGCCATACAGCTCGCTGTCAGCTGGACCGTCCTCATTCTCTTCTTTGAAGCCCACAGCCCTGGTCTGGTAAGCACTTGATAGCCCAAAGGCAGAGGTGGAAAAAGAGAAGGGAAAACCATCAGACCCCAGAAGCAGGTAATTTGGTGGATCCTTCAGGAGCAGGTGTCAGATTTCTCTGGCTCTTGGGAGCAGGATGCTCAACAAAGGTCAAAGGCCAGCATGCCTCTCCCCTCTTCCTGCCTACCTTTCTGCTCAGGCCCTGCTGCACCTGCTGCTGCTGTATGGACTGGTGGTGAGCACAGCACTCATCTGGCACCCCATCAACAAGCTGGCCGCCTTGCTCCTGCTGCCTTACCTGGCCTGGCTCACTGTGACAGCTGCCATCACCTATCGCCTGTGGAGGGACAGCCTCTGCCCAGAGAACCACCCTGGGCCCACAGCAGAAGAGCCTCTGAGGCCCTAGGACAAGGGAGAAAAGGGAGAGCAGGGAGAGCACGGTAGGCAGGAGTGTGAGAGAAAGGAGGGAAGGCGCCTGCATGCAGGGATGGGAAGCAGGGTGTGCCCCAATGCGGCCACCATCCTAGGTGTCCTCTTGTCATTTTTATTTAGAATTCGTAGAAATGGGAAGGTGGTTACTGTGCACTTCTATAAGACTCTGTCAGTGACTTCAAGTATAAAATGCATACAAGACGTTTGTCCAGGTTGGAGCTGTGGCATAGTGAGTAAAACCATCACAGGTTTGTAGGATGCTACAATCCTAGCATCACATATAGGTACAGGTTTAAGTCCCAACTGCTCCACTTCCAATCCAGCTCTCTGTTATTGCACATGAAAAAGCAGAGGGCAACCCAGGTCCTTGGGCTCCTATACCCACATGGGAAATCCAGATGGAGTTCCTGGCTCCTGATTTCAACCAGCTCTGGCCTTTGCTGCCATTTGGGGAATGAAGCAATGGATGAAAGAACTCTTTTTTTCCCTCTGTCTCTCTGTAATTCTGTCTTTCAAATAAATAATTTTTAAAAGAATATATAGTTTAGGCTGCAGTGTGAAAGAGAATTCTGCGTCTGTGTGTGTGAGACAAAAACAGAGAAAACATGTATGTGGGAGGGATGGACACATCATCCACTCACCCAGTGCCCTCCCAGACTTAGCAGAAAGGTCACAGTCTGAGATTTTTAATTACTTGACGAAGAAAATCTTGAAAAGTTATGGAAGAGCTAAGCAGAATGCAAAAAAGAATACTAATTAAGGTTATATGCTATGTATTAATTTATGTATGCCATTCATTATAGAACACATGAGTTTCAAAAGGCTCACAAAAAATTCTCATTTTCTTTTAATCACATTTTTCACAAACTTTCTGAATTCCCCTCATGTGCATCATGCCAAAATCTTATGTAATTATCTCTGATAAGTGAAATTATGGGCCATTTTTTGCTTTCATACAGTCTTATAATTTTTATAACAATAATTACAATTTTAATTTTTTAGAGTTTAAAAAAAGCAATATAAGCTTTGAGGTGCTAACAGATGAATCCCATAAGAGTTTCTTTAAAAAAACTTTTTATCTGGGAACACCATTGTGATACAACACATTAGCCACTACCTGCAACCCAACATCCCATATGGGAAACAATTCGTGTCTCAGCTGCTCCAATTCACATTCAGCTCCTTGCCAATGCACCTTGGAAAGCAACTGAAGATGGTCCAAGCCTTTGGGAGCTTCCCAATCATATGGGAGACTCAGAAGAGGCTCCTGTCTTCAGCCTGGTCCAGCCCTGGCCATTACGGCCATTTGGGAAGTGAACCAACACATGGAAGATCTCTTTCTCTCTCTCTCTCTCCATCTCTCCCTCTCTCTGCCATTCTTTCAAATAAATATGCGAACTTGGGTTTTTGTTGGGTTTTTTTTATATTTATTTATTTATTGGAAAGTCATATACAGAGAGAAGGAGAGACAGAGAGGAAGATCTTCTGTCTGTCGATTCACTCCCCAAGTGAGCGCAACGGCCGATGCTATGCTGGTCCGGAGCCAGGATCCAGGAACTTCTTCTGGGTCTCCCACATGGGTGCAGGGTCCCAAAGCTTTGGGCCATCCTCGACTGCATTCCCAGGCCACAAGCAGGGAGCTGGATGGGAAGTGGAGCTGCCGGGATTAGAACCAGCACCCATATGGGATCCCAGTGTGTTCAAGGCAAGGACTTTAGCCACTAGGCCACGCCACCGGGCCCTGCGAACTTGTTTTTATAAATAGTTTTGAAGAAAATCTAAGCCTTCAGTTTCCCAGCCTACCTGTGCCCCTAGCTCTTGCCCTACCCCCACCTCCTGGGTCTGAGCACAGCTTGAGCACACTTGCCTTCAGCTCCTCATCTTTTATTATCCAAGCTACCGCATGTAATTGCCAGACATGGCATAGATTCAACCACCCATGTCACATGTGTCTGCGACTTGGTCCTGGGGCAATATTTTCCCATTGCCTCTGGTTGAGTGTCTGAACATGATTGAGAATAGAGTGGCCAAGAGTCCCTCTGCACAGCGACTGGAAAGGTGTGGAGAGGCCCCAGGTCAAAAAGCAAACCCAGGAGGTGGCATACCCGATTCTCTCTCCTCACTCCTCCTCCATCTCCTCCAAAGCCCTCATTCTTCTCCACTTAGATGATTCCTGCACAATGGAACCAGAGAGTGGCAGACTGTACATCTGGCAGGCGTATGTCCAGTGGCCAAAGATCTGCTTGTTGGCTGGGCTGGGAAGCAGGAAGAGCAGAGGAAGTGTCCTTGTCCTAGTGCCTCCACCCACAGCAGCTACAGTTGATGGTGCAGAGGAAGCCTCGAGAGCCTTTTGATGATGTCAGGCCCAGACTAGGGAGGCAAGGTCTCTGTTCTGCCTTCATAGGTGGCTCCCAGCCACTGCATTATTGCACCCCATATAACCAGTGTCGGTCTTGCAGACCTCCCCTTTTTGTAGAGCCAGAGAGCAAGCCCAAGACACATTGTTTCCAAGGATTTCTACTGTTGATGCTCATGAGCATCTCAGTCCAACCCTGATTTTGCTGTTGTCTCATCCTTCTGCTGCAGGCAGTGGTAAGAACATAACAGTGTGACTTGATATGAGACAGCAGGAGAGACCGTGTGTGTCTAGACTCAAGTTCACAGACTGCCCGTTCCAGTGATGGAGATCAAACTCTGCAAGTGATGGTCTGCAAGTGGGCAAAAGCCCAAGGTCAAGGCTGAAGACTGTGAGCGAGGGTCTGCAGTTGGGCAACTGTCCAAGGCCTCAGAACTAGGTGCTTTAGGATATCCTTGAGTCAGTCACACACTGACTTCTGCAACTGGATCACAGTGTTGCTTCCTGATCATCCAGCACTGGCTGATGTACAGCAACATGGGACTTGACTGTCAACATTTGCACCACATCAACTGCTGTAATTTGACTCCCCAAGCATTTCAATAAAAGCTCAAGGCAGCGTGCCTCCTAGGTGAACTTCCTTCCCTTTGAGGGAAGGGGGTTTCCCTCTGGCCGCCTACTTCCAAAGTCTTTATCTTGTGTCTGTCTCTTTTCCTATTTTCTCAATTTCATGCTGGCCCGTCTCCAACGCTGGTCACGGCAGGCAGGCTGTGATACCTTCTTCCTCACCCTCTGGCAGAGCTTTCTAAAACATTTTCTTCACTCCAAAAACCCCTCTCCTTGCTGGAGACCCCATCAAAACCTTAGATCCCTCTTCTGCTGCGCAAGCAAAGAGAAGCCCCCTGGATCTCAGCAAGGATCTCAATGGATGTCTCTTTGGTGGTTTCATCTGCGCAACTGGTGTCCGTATCTGTGAGGTTTCCTGGCCCACTCAAAAATGCTCTCCTCCAAGGAGCCCCCCGAACAGTTGCCCTTTTCCTTTTCCATCTGTGTATCCTAGCACTTATCTCATTTTCAGGGCTTAATTTGTGCTCTCAAAAGTGGACAGGTACATGTGCGACTGCCTCCTAGTGGGATCCTTGGCCTTGCAACACGCCCCACACCCCGCTACTATTAGTCATCTTCATGTGCGTGGATAAGATCAAAGACTCCCAGTGCCAGCCGCCAGGCAGGCCTACAGGAGCCAGGTGGTGCCAGGACTGGTTGCCGGAAGGAATGGAGGACCGTGGTGACCAGGACTAAAGTCCTGGGTGTTCCCATCTGTCCCACCTGGCAAGGCAAGCACTGTGTCCTATTCAGAAGCAACCTGACACCCAGGGCCACCCTGCGCTTCTCCAATCCTAGCTTCAGGCTCTAGGAGACCCCTGCTCCCCCGCCCCCTGATAATGGCCGCTGGAAACCCTGGACACCCGGTGTTTATGTCAACAGAGCGGTTGCCAGCAGGGACAGGCTCCTGTCCACCAGGGGTTGTCTGGTGCCCGCAGCCGTTGTTTGTATACCTTGTCTCGGTAGTGACAAGAGAGGCAGGCATGCCTGGACTGGGTCTCTGAGGCAACGCGCTGTTGGGGTCCCAGCTGTTCCTGCACATAAAGCCCCCATTCCATGCTCACACCCCGAGGTGTCTCCTTTCACACAGTGAGTATTGCAACTTTCCCCTGGTGAAGCTCCTGTGTACCGCCAGCCCCTCTCCCCTGGCCTCTTCTCTCCCTGGGCAGCTCCATATCTGGCCAAGACCCAAGGAACCTTCATGCCCTACCCATCGCCTCCTCCACAGCTACCTCCCTTGGACCCTGAATATTTTCTGAAAGGATCATGGGAGATGGGACTGGCAGAGGTGAGCTGCAGCAGATCCTGGACCCACCCAGCTCCTTCCGATTACAGCCATCTCAGATGGGGGGTGCACACATCCATGTACACATATGTGTACACATACATAGACATACAAGCATGCACATGCCCACACATAGTCATACACACAGACATACACGTAGACACACATATATGTACATAGATGCACAATCATGCACATATACACATAGACACACATGTATGCCCACATACACACACACACACTCTCTCCTCACATGTCAATTGCTTCCCAGGCCCCTTCTCCCTGTAACAGCTGCTTCTGAGCCTCTTTAGCTGCCTCCCAAGGTCCTGCTGTTCCCCTCCTCCTTCAAAGTCAGGCCTCAGGGTTCCTGACGACAGAAGGGACTGAGTGGTGAAAGGGGCTAAGAGCCTGACTCTGAAAGAAAGGGCCAATTCCTTGGCTTTGGTTTCCTCACATAAAAAAAAAAAAAGGAGGTTCATAATAGTAGCCACCTGTGTAAGTACTCAACAGCTCAGTCTATATGATGAACTTAGGGCAATGGCAGACTGGCAGCAAGGGCTGTGCTAATGCCAGCTCCTCTGAAAGCCAAGTAGCTCACACAGTGGGGAAAACCTGGAGCTTGGAGGATGTTGACAGCTCTGGGTGCAGACCCCAAAACTTCACTGGCTCGGGCTGTGACCTTAACTAAAAAAAACCTTCCCGCGCAGTGTCCGCCTGTGCAGAAGGGCATGCTGATAAGGCCTTAGCTGATGGGGTAAACATGGTTGGAATGGGGAGAGGGGGAGGACCATGCCAACGCAGAGTGTAGTGACAACTGCAGGGGGAGGAGTCAGGCTCCTGGCACCTGACCCTGTCTTACCCCCCAGATTAGCTGCTGCACTCTGGGGCTGGCTTGGGAGCCTGGTCTGCCTTGGAATGGACAGCCAGGAACCAGCAAGGAATTCCGGCCCCTGAGAGGTGGCCATAAATAGCCTGAGCAGGTCAGAGGCCTCCGGGGATGGCAGATGGGGGGATGGGGATAGGAGATGTTGGGGTGGTGAGGTGGCTGGAAAGCAGCAGTGGAAGAGGAAGTCATCAGTTATCAAGCCTGCAGACTGACCCTGGGCTCTTTCCCAAAGATCAAAGGGTAAAATGTCTATGGGAGTGGTTGAAGGGAGGGAGGGGGTCACATTTTCAGACAGGCCTGAGCTGGGCCCATCTCTGTACCAGCCCCAACATCACCCAGAGCTCTCCAGAGTTGCAGATCACATGTCCTTAGGCCAATAGCTCAGCTTGGATCCCAGATGGGATGATTGAGGCCCAGAAGTGTCAAGTGGTTTGGGCCAAGATCACAAAGGGAGGGAGGGGTGAACATGGAGACACAATGATACAATGGGCTTGTGTGTGTGTTTCTACCTCCTAATCCTGTGTAACGTATGACCATCAAAATGTATCCATATGGAAAAGGTCTTTCCCAATAGGGAGCAGCCAACTGGAAGATGAGTGTTCCTTGCTTACCACCTTGTGGTTTTTTGACCCTTTCTTAGCTGAGCCAAGCACACCAAGGACTTTACTTCATAGCACAACAGAGACAATCACTCAGAGATACAGCGCAGGAAGTAGGACTGAACTTAAGCACGGGAGCCCAGGACTCAAATCCTTACATGATCTTGTGCAAATCACTACACCCTCCTAAGCCGCAAATACAGCCAATAAATCACACTCATGTGAGATGGGTATGCGGATCAAATAAGATCATGCACACTCCGGTGTCTAATTGGTGTCATAATGACAGCTTGCTCCTGGCCAGGAAGTGCTACATTCACCGCTCTATGATCAGCGTGGGACACAGACCTGGCACGTGGGCACTCCCACTGAGTGCCGACTGAATAAAAGAAAGAGGTCAGCTTTCATGTGTAAGTGTTATTTGTTGGGAAGGTATAAGCAAGCTGCACTGTTTGCCAGCTAGTACTTTTCATCATGGACATGGGCACTATTACCTCCACCTGTGCAAACATTCAAAGCGGTCCTCTCTGGCTTAGAATGCTCTTAGTAGGAGAGGGTATTGTGGTGCTTTGGGGTTGCCCACAATCCCATATTGAGTGCCTGTCTGAGTCGTAGCTACTCCATTCTTCCAATCCAGCTCCCTGCTAATGTGCTTAGGTGGCACAGTGGTTAAGGTCCTCGCCTTGCACGCCCGGGATCCCATATGGGCGCCTCTATCCCCGCAGCCCCGCTTCCCTTCCAGCTCCCTGCCTGTGACCCGGGAAAGCAGCCAAGGACGGCCCAAAGCTTTGGGACCCTGCATCCGCGTTGGAGACCTGGAAGACTCTCCTGGCTTTGGATCGGCATAGTATCGGCCGTTGCGCTCACTTGGTGAGAGAATCATCGGAGGGAAGATCTTCCTCTCTGTCTCTCCTCTCTCTGTATATCCGCCTTTCCAATAAAAGAAAAAAAAACAAAAAAAAAAACTAAAAAAAAAAAAGATTTATTTATTTGTTGGAAAGTCAAGTCAGATATACAGAGAGAAGGAGAGACAGAGAAGAAGATCCTCCGCGGGATGATTCACTCTCCAAGTGAGCACAACGGCCAATGCTATGCCAATCCGAAGCCAGGGTCCAGGAACTTCTTCCGGGTCTCCCACACAGGTACAGGGTCCCAAGGCTTTGGGCCATCCTCTACTGCCCTCCTAGGCCACAAGCAGGGAGCTGGATGGGAAGTGGAGCTGCCAGGATTAGAACCGGCACCCATATGGGATCCCGGCAAATTCAAGGAGAGGACCTTAGCCGTTAGGCCACACCAGCCCTAAGTAATTTTTTTTTAAAGTATAGTGGACACAGCATGATAGCTCAGTGACTAAATCCTCACCTTTTAACCGCCAGCATCCCATTTGGGCACTGGTTCGTGTCCCAGCTGCTTCACTTCCTTCCATCCCCCTGCTTGTGGCCTGGGAAAGCAGTAGAGGATGGCTCAAAACCTTGGGACTCTGGACCCATGTGGAAGACCCAGAAGAGGCTCCTGGCTTTTGGCTTAATATTGGCTCAGTTCTGGCCATTGTGGCCACTTGGGAACAAAATCAATGCAAAAGATCTCACTCTCTGCCTCTCCTTCTCTCTGTAAATCTGCCTTTCAATAACAACAAATAAATCTTTTTGAGAATGTTGATTTTAGTCCTTCATTGAACAGGTTCAGTGATTATATAATTGCTCGCATTGGGACACTTTTAAAAGTGACAGAAGATGTTTTGGTAATTGTAGCTGAGTAATAGGGAAAACCAGCGCCCTTCCGCTGCCGCAAGGCAAACCAAAACTCTGGTACCCACCAACCATCCAGCAGGTGTCTGCTGCTCAGGACCCTCAGGAGGAGGGATGTCCAGATTTTCCAAACCCTCATGACAACCCCACCTATACCCTGGAGTATTCCGTGCCTTCCATCTAACTCCATCTAACTCCATCGGAAGCTGTTTTCAAGTGGTGCACCTGCAGGTGCAAGTTCACTTGCAGGTGAACCTGAACCTTCTGGGTTTTCAAAGAATGTTCTAGAATGTTTGCACTGCCTCACCCACAAGAACTTAGGGCCTCTGCTGTCCATCTATCACATGAGCTACTCCGACTCAGGGCCTTTTCAGGGGCAAAGCCAGCTCTCTCTAGTTTCCAGAGTTCTCCCAGGTCCCTTGGTGCTCTCCTTTGTCCCTTTTTTTCCAGTCTCAATCACAGTAGCCAGGGCTGACAATGGGCCCCATCTGTTCAGGGGCAAAGGCTTTCCATCCTGCACCAAGAAAAAGCCAAGGCCCCTAAGGCCCCACCCTCGCCAGCCCTTCCTGGCACCGGCATCTCTGCCCCTAGGTCACCCTGGCCATCGAGGTGTCCTCGATAACTCCCCTAGTCCCCAGAGAATGCTCCCGTCTCAGGCCTTCACACCTGCTCTTCCCTTCCTTAGAACACAGGGGCGATCAAGAAATTTATAGAAATTGCAGTAAAAAAAAATTGTTTATATGAAAAAAAACCTTGAAATCCATGAACATGGGGTATTCTATAGTTCATGAAAAGGGCATTTTGAAAAACTACACAAGGATTTCAAAAACAACTTTTTTGCCATCAAAAAAAAGCTTATCTTTTCACCTCATTTTCCATGGCCTTTGTGAAATACCCTCCCCTTTTCCTCCTCGGTGGTCTCATAATTAGTTTCCTCTTTCCTGCAGATCTTTTCTCACTTACGTGCTTTCTGGGGTCCTTTCTGTATCTATCCTACAAACAAGGGACCCACCCCTCACACTGCCTCTCTGCCTTCTCTGCCTCTTACCAATATAAAAGAGACAGGCCTTGGCTTAATGCCTTCCTCCTCCAACCCCAGCTACTTGCATGAAGACAGGGATTCCCATTGGCTTTATTTTCCCTATCCCTAAAACCTGAAATAGTGCCTGGTAGAGAGTCACTGCTCACCAAGCACCCATGAAAGGAATAAAGGGACTGATTGTGACTCTACAGCATGAAGACTGAGTGTGTGGCCTCCATCCTGTTACTGCCACTTCTGAGCTGCCTTGACCTGCACCGAGGCCCTCAACCCTGCTATGACTTTCCCTTTTGCGAATGTCACACAGGGATCATACAGGTGGCCTCCCAGGGCTGATGACATCATGAAGTCTGACTTCACAGACAAACCACCCAACTCACTTCTGGCCTATTTCAAACACTCTAAGCTTAGTACAAGGCCACCACTGTCACCAGTGGAGGTGCCTGGTGGCTTTGATGCTGCAACGAGAGTTCCCAAAAGGCAGATCAGTTTCCACAAGCTCACGCTTTCTTTGCTCGGCATTTACCCACGTTCCCCAAACAGGAATGGTTGGATCTCTTTGTGGTTGCCCCTTTAAGATTCATCCTCTTCAAAACTCTTTTTATCTTTTCCCTAAGTCTCAGGACACCTACCCTGGATGCCCACCCCTACACTCAGGATGGAGGTAGAAACCTTGAGCGGAAAACAAAAGGAAGAATATATGGCGAGAGGAGGGAGACAGAGAAGCCAGGCCAAACCATGTGCACCTGCCAGCTTCCCGTCTTAGCCTACTGATAAATAGGGGATAGTGAGGGCCAGACTTTCCATTGCCCCACTCTGGTACCCGCCGTCACTCAATTAAAAAAAGACAGAGAGAGAGAGGGCCTGGGGGAGGGGCAGGAGGCCTTGGTTATAAAGCCTGTGACCCAGGAGGCCAGAGCAGGAAGCCTCTTTCCGTCATCATCTTCGGTCAGGCTTAGCTGCTGACAGCTGCTTGGGACTCTGCCGCCAGGCCCTGGCCCAGCCTGCCAGCTCTCCTCTCCGCCAGTGACTCCTGAGCCGCAGCCCTTTCATGGCTCAGAAAGAAGAGGCCCCTGCGGCCGCCGCCGCATCTGCCTCCCAGAATGGGGAGGGTGGGGAGGATCTGGACAACCTGGACGACCCCGAGAAGCTGAAGGAGCTGATTGAGCTGCCCCCCTTTGAGATTGTCACAGGGTAAGACTCATGCGTGGGCCATGGTCCTCTATCACAGGAGAGAGGAGGGGCTTGGGACCAGCCAGGGTTAGGGTCAGGCCCAGTGCTGCAGCACCGGGCCGGCACCTGTGTGTAGTACAGGGGATGAAGAGCACACCATGGCTCTCTCTCTCTCTCTCTCTCTGCTCTTGAGCTAAGCCAAGAATCGGTTGAGATAATAGGATCACATTAGCAGCAAGGGCCCAGAGAATGCCACCACTTGCCATGTCTCCTAGGATGGGCACAGGCACCTCTCTGGGTAGAGGTTAGCCCTAGGAACTATGGTGAGGATAAGATACATTTCAATATGGCTCCAAAGTACCACGCCCCTTCTCCCCATCCTCTCTATGTCTTCGCGTGAGTATTCCCTGTATCTGGTTGCGTCTGGCACTTTCTTTAGGGCTCCTCTCTGGAATAGGAGATCCTGGGACAGGGAAGCAAGAGGCCTGCTCTCCCAGGACCAGGTGGGAAGCTGGTTTTGCTCATTGAGTTTTTGCTGAGCCTGCTCAGGGTCCATCTACATCCAGGCCTAAGGAAGCACAGACATCACAGTACAGGTCACCTGGGCGAGGCATTCACAGACATTGGCACAGATTCAACACTTACAACTCTAGGCCAGAAAATCTGGGGCTCCCAGCAAAGGGGGCAGAGGCTCCAAACAGGCCAGGTGTATAAGATCCTTCAGTCTTGCCCCGATTATGCCATCTCTGGGAACAACCCTGAGTCAGTTTCCCCTTCTCCCCTTCATTTCTGCAGGGGACAAGCTTATCAGAGTCCTAAGCAAAGACTAAAATAGAACAGTGGGGTCACACTTTCTCCCTGTGTCTGAGGTTTCCTTCTGGAGGAGGGGATCCCCAGCAATGCCCACAGCAGGGAAGGCACAACTGAGAGTCAGGGAGGGCTGTGGGATGAGGCCAAGGGAGGGAAACCCAGCAGGGAGGGAAGTGCAGGGGAAAGGACTCACCCTGCCATCAAGCCAAGCATGCTGCATTAAGCTCCGTGAGTGTTTCTCCAGTCTTGGCCTCTGTTCGCATCATTTCCTAACATGAGGAAGTTGTGCTGGTGGACTCCTAAGATCCTGTCCAGCTCAGACATTTGTTGATCTCTAAGGACAAGTAGATTCTAATCCTGAACTTCTCTCTGCCCACCCTCACCCAACCACCCTCATCCTGGGATTAAGGGATCACCTGGGCACAGACTGACACAATTACAGGGAAAGCCAAGCCTCAGCTCCACCGGCTCTCTGGTGGGAGGATACCTGAGCCAGCTGGTTCACGCTGTCCTTAGTCACACGCAGGTTCCCAGTCCCCAGCTGCTTGCAAGGAAGCAGCACTGGCCAGGAGAACGAGACTTGTTTGCCAAGGTGACCCAAGAGCCAAGGGTTCCCAGGGGGTAAGGCTCTCTGCTGTCATTTACATTTGGTAATCCAGAGCTTGATCATCACAATGTGTGGGTAAGTGCATAAGCTCACTCAATTCTCAGCACTACACTCCAGCGAGACATTGAGACAATGAGATCGAGTGATCCGATCAAGACCCAGACCGCCAGAGAAGCCAGTCTGGAACAGAAGTGCTGGCTCTTTTCCTTCGTTCTGGCCCCAGGTCTCCCAGACAGAGCTGCCCCTCTGTCCAGGTGCAGGGTCCTCAGGGCCAGAGGCTTGCAGCTGAGAAAGCCTAGCACAGTCCAGGCACTCTGAGAATTCAGGTGAGAGGAGGGGCTCTGGCGCTTGCCTGGTCACAAGTGACAGCTGTGGACGTCTGTCTCCCAGGGGCCCTTCTGGGTAAATAGATGGCTAAAAATAGCCTGGAGGTGTGGCTGTGGTTGCACAGGCAAGGGAACACTTTCCCCTCCCCGCTGCCCAAATGCCCTGGAATCAGAGGGATGGATCAGCAAAGCAGCTTCTCCACTAGCCTGGGCTCCTGTGGGGAACAGCTCCCAAAGTGCTGAAGCTGGGTGAAGTGAGCAGGACACACCCAGTAGGAACAGGACAGTCACTCGTGGTGGCTGTGCTTCAACAGGGTACTCGTGAGGGAAAGCAGGCCGAAGCCTAATCATGACATTGGGTGGTAAGTGACCAGGTGGACCGGCAGGGCTACCCTGGCGGGCTAGAAACCCCACCATGTGTCTGCCTTCTCGGCTTCGCCCCCTACTTGCACCATGGGAGTTTGAAATCTCCTTGCACCATGGCAGAAATTGGCAGACATGAGACATCAGGACTCCTTTTCTGGTCATCCTATGTCTCAGAGAGCTGGGTGTTCAACGTATAGCAGCACAGCACTGCAAGACAGAAACCTCTGCAGGTGAGAGCAGAGCAGAGGAAGGAGGTAGGCGAGAGCAGGAGAGGGGCTGAGGCTTGGGGGAGGCCCCAGGCATAGGCTTGTACATAATGAATGTCTGCTGTTGTCCCAGGCTGGAGCTGCAGATTGCTTATGTTTCAGGGAAGGAAACTCAACTTTGGTGGAAGATTAACTTGCCCAATCTTAGTGGGATAAGTGGAATGAGAACCTCAGGACTGCTAGGCACCAGCTCACCACAGTGGGCCCAAAACACCAGAAGGGATTCCTTTTTAATTCACAAATTCTTACCAAGGAGGAGTTGTTCGTGAAAAAGTAGAACATAAGTTCATTTGAGTGCAAATGAAATGCCTACATCATCTTTCCATAATCCATGTCTTCCATGAATTTTTGGGGGGATGGGGAGGAAACTCCTTATGTATTTACTCCACTGGGACAAGACTTGAACTTTCTTGATGTTTTGTCCATATTACCAGGCTCGTAGCAGGGGCTCAGCTCCTGATTGGAGGATCCATTGTGTGTTAGGCTGCCTGCCAGACATCAGGACAGGGTATGGGCTAGGGGGAGAAGCTCCAGATATATGAATAGCAGGTGATGCTAGGTTTTGGTGAGCATATTCTTGGTTGCCTACCTCTGAATGTTGCAAGTTTCCAGGGGGTCCTGGTACACAGGAGCTAGTCGTCCCCCATTTTTGCAAGTTTCCACCCTAGTGAGGAGTGACCATAGCCTTGCTTTGCCATGTACCTGCTGTAAGTTGGTATTCAAATCTAGCCGTGTCGTGTGCATTTTTGCAGACAGTAGAACCTGCTAGAGCAAAAGGATTATGATGGAACAGAGATGCATGCCAGATGGAATGAGACTTCTCTTACTCTAGAATTTCAGGAACTGCCCAGAGAGAAGAGACAGGGTCCAGAGAAGAGAGATGTAGGGGGTGAGTGAGGTACCTTCAACATTACCACCATTCCCTCCCCTCCACCACCACTCCTCCAGCCTGGCCTCTGGAGCATGCAGGAAGTGTGTCATAAAGAAGAGAACCCAGTTCACTCACTGCCCCACTGGCTCCTGTGGAGGGCTAGTGGGAGGGCAAAGCTACAAGTAAGGAGGTGCCTGCAACTCCAGGCCCTCTGCTCTTGCTCTGCATGCCTCTCTGTGACTTACCCCACCCTGGCTTCTACTATGAAAGTGACTTGAAAAGGAGCGGCTGGTGCAGCGGGTACCTGCACCCCTACCACGCAGGTCACAGGGAGGACTACCCAAGGAAAGCTCAGAGGAGTAGCTGGGAGTAGATTTCCATGCCAGGTGTTGCTTTGCAGCTTTGGAGTTGAATACCTAACCAGCTTCTTGTTCCTTCCAGGTTGCTTCCCTTTCCCTGACAGACTGAGGGTTAGGAAATGGTCCTTTTTTAAATGGATGCCTGAGAAAAAAGATGTTATCACACTGACTCAACTCTTTCCCTCCACCAAGCAGCCCATCCTCCTCAGGTTCTGCTAGATATGAGGATTCTGGGTTTCCTCCGTGCAGAGCTGCACTGCCCAGCAGCCTAGTTCTAAGCAAATAAAGTGGGAATGGCTTTGTTGGCAAGAAAATATGAGGAAGTGGTACTTAAAGAGGAGCTATCTGAGGCTGAGGGGGAGGGGGGCGGGGACCACAAATCACGCTCTTGATTCCTATAACAGGAAGATTCTGTGGATGTGGAGGAGGATCCAGTTTCAGCATCTCATCTCTCTCCAGGCCATCACTCCAACACACACACACCCCATAGCACTTAAGGAGTAAAATATCTGCTGTACTTCAGCGTAAAGAGCTAGAAGTAAATATGGTACTTAGGCACATCCTGTTACTAGAAAAAAAATAATGTGATTCAGCAATTAGCGTCTCCCTTCCCTTCCTTCCACTAGCAGGCATAACAGCTTTGTCTCATTTTATGAGTCTACAAAATCCCCCAATGGATGTATGGTCATGTGACCTGGCTCCCTGGAGAATTCCCAGGCTCCGCCCATGTCTGTGCCCTTGGTGACACTCCAGGGCCTGGATTTTTCCTCAGTGGGAACCCAATGCACATTGTGCCTCATTTAGTCTGTGCTCATTCTTAGATCAACAAGCCCTTTGAGACTGCCTAGCAACCTGAGCAAGCCCACAAGCAAGCCTGGGAGCCAAAGGCCTTCCCTGCTTTCCTCTGCCCTAGGAGGCCCCTAGCCCAGGAGGACCTGCTGAGGGACCAAGTACACTCTGGGCTGCTGGCCCAGGAGAGGGGTTGGACATGGATATTTATAGGGAGGTGACCTTTCCACCTCTCCCTTGGGTTTCAGGTTTCTGTAGGTCCTCTCCTCTTGCCAAGGGTAAAGACACAGGGGAGGGGACATGGAGGGGACAATGCCAGCACATAAAAGAGGCTAGGGGAAGCAGTGCAGCACAACCCCCCAGCCAGCTTGCCACACTGGGCTCAAATGCAGACTTTCACAGCAGTGGGAGCTGGCAAAACTGGAATGATGCTTTCAGGGGTTCCAGCAAGAAACCCGAGTAGCCACATGGGCAGCTACTGCTGAAGCTCCCAAGCCAATCAAGAAGCCATACTTCAAAAAGAAGTCATTGGAACTAGAAGACACTTTAAGGAAATCCATAGGCAAGTTTATTGTGCGAAAATGTTGAAATTCATGCATAGTTTTTTTCGTAAGACGCATTTTTCCACGAGCTTTTTTTTTTACACCGCTTCATTTCCTGCTGCCATACTTCCAGGGTCTGAGAGACTAAGATTGCTTGGTGATTCTGGGTTGGACGGGGGAAGGAAGTGGGCAGAAAGGCTTTGCAGACCCAGAAGGGGTTTGGGCATGATAGGTAAAGCTTTGTGCTTCTCAGAAGCAGAAAGCTACTCCTTTGAGTTCAGGAGTCAATTAGCCCCCGGCAGGGTGCAGAAATGTCTGGGAGGAAGAATTCAGTGCAAGTGAATTTCCAACAGGGGTAGAAAGAAGGGAGGGGAAATATCAGGCCATCCACTCTCAGAAAATGTTAAGTAAATAATAAACACCTCCAATGAGGCACAAGGGACTTACAGAGCTAAGTATAGTACCCAAAGGACTCCTGGGGCTAGGTCTTCAAACACATCCATCTCCACCGTGGAAATTCAACTTGACAGCAAGAGGCGTGGCAACTTGAGTGGAGAGCATTTGGTGGAGGGGGCAGGGAGGAATCCAGCAGAGAAGGAACTTGGGCTTACTCAGCTCTTCGGCATCTGAGGCTTACCCCTAAACAACCCCGGGCCCAGGGCCCTGGGACCTCAGGGATTCCCCCTGCAGCCCAGGGATTCTCGGTGACCTTCCTGCAGAAAGAGAAGAGGAGTGGAGACTGGAGACGAGGGACAGCAGGGCTACCCTCACAACATGGTGCCTTCCCAGGCAGCCTGCATTCATTCCTTCCTCTCTTTGTGACATTTCAATCACCCTCCTCAAGAGTTCATTTTCTTCAACCTTTAAGCCTGCATGCTTCTTTCTGTTTTAGAAAAATGCACACACGCATCTGAAAATAATGTTAAAAAGGCTTCAACTCTTGACACCGTTCTCTCTCATTCTTCTTGTTTTCTCTGTTTATTTCTGCCACCAAACTTTCCACAAAGCCTGGCCTTTTCTTGCCCCTCTAATTTGCTAACCATCCCTCTCCTGCCCGAGGCTACTGGACACCTGCCTAATTGCCCCAGGGTCCGACATTCTAAGACGCCTTTGGGGCCTTGTGAGTTGCAGGCTTTTCCCAGTTTCACTCCATCTTACCTTCATGATAATTTTCCACAGACATCACTGTTACACATCCTTCTGCTGTAAGAATCTGTAATGGCTCCTGAATCAAGGTTGAACTCTTGAGATACTTTATCTGTCCTCTACCAATTCGCTTTTACCATTCCTCTGTTCTCACAGAGAACATGGGCATCTCTGTCCCGATAGAATCTAAAAGGCTGGATTATAAGCATTGAAATGGTAGAGGTCAAGTCTTATGAGATGTTAAAGCGACTCAATACTATACACAAGCTTAATTATCCCAAATGTTCCCACATGGTTTGGCCTCACAGACTGAAAAAAAAAAAAAATTGCTCAGCTGTTGACCATGTGACAATCCTTCCCCTAAAGGAATATATGGCCTGGAGGAATCGCCACTAGGAGAGTGTGGTCAGGCCATTCTATGTCTGAGATGCGATTTACAAGGGTCACAACAAGCAGCGGAATGAAAGCATGAAATTCCTGCAAAATTCCAGTCTTGCTCCCTCGTGAGAAATTTCACAAGCTTCCTACTTCGTAAAATTGCTATGCTTTTCCAACCAGGCCACATATTAGAATCATCTGGAGAGCTTTTTAAAAATACTAGGCTCCCTTTCTCTACAGATATTCTGGCTTGAATCATACAGTGTGAGACCCAGACACTGACATTTTTTTTTATTCTTGTGATTCTAAGCTATAGCCAGGTTAAAGGTTCACAGAGGTAGAAATGGGCGGAGGAGGGCTGGTGTGGTGTTTTGGGAATGATGGCATAGACTGTGTATGGGGACCCTTCTTGGTGCAGTGATCAGAGGGCACACCTCCATCCAAATTCTCTCTTCCTATCCCATAAACCCATCTGGATTTTATCATGCCTTTCTGTCATTGATGATCACATGGGTAAGCACTGTTCATAAGACAACTGCCTTCTTGGGGGAGGTCCTAGGAACCAAAACTTAACATTTTCTTTTTCTTTTTTTTATCCCTCCTTTCTCACTGCCCCCCCAACCTCCAAACTACAGGGAACGGCTGCCTGTCAACTTCTTTAAGTTTCAGTTTCGGAATGTAGAGTACAGCTCCGGGCGGAACAAGACCTTCCTCTGCTATGTGGTAGAAGTACAGAGCAAGGGAGGCCAAGTTCAAGCATCTCGGGGCTACTTAGAGGATGAGCATGCAGCTGCCCACGCAGAGGAAGCCTTCTTCAACACCATTCTGCCAACCTTTGACCCAGCCCTGCGGTACAATGTCACCTGGTACGTGTCCTCCAGCCCCTGTGCAGCCTGTGCTGACCGCATCATCAAAACCCTTGGCAAGACCAAGAACCTGCGCCTGCTCATTCTGGTGGGGCGCCTCTTCATGTGGGAAGAGCCCGAGATCCAGGCTGCTCTGAAGAAGCTGAGGGAAGCTGGCTGCAGACTGCGCATCATGAAACCCCAGGACTTCGAGTACGTCTGGCAGAATTTTGTGGAGCAGGAAGAAGGAGAATCCAAGGCCTTCGAGCCCTGGGAGGACATTCAGGAGAACTTCCTTTACTATGAGGAAAAGTTGGCGGACATCCTCAAGTAGTCGGCAGGGCTCAGCCTCACGTGAGTTTCCCAAGTGCCCTGGCACTGTTACTCTATTAACCTAAGTTAATGTGGCTATAAGGCTTGAGGTCAGGTGGGGTGAGTGGTATTAATGTTTAATTTCCCTTGTGAAAGGCTACATTTCTCAGACTTTGGTTGGTTGTAATCTTAAAACCACCTTGTCTCCTTTCCTAATTCTAGGTTTCTGTCCCTAAACTTGTTCCTTCCTACCCTTTCATATCAAACTAACCTCGGAAGACTAACTTGGTATACCCAGGCTTGATAACATTCCTAGGCTCCAATGAGACAGAATGGTCTTCCTTAGCAACACTTACAAGGAAGTTGCTCCTGAACAACAGCAGAGGCGAGAATGTAAAACCCCTAAGCCTGGTACTGTGTGCACATCAGCACGAAACCTGGAGGCCTCCCAAATGTCCTGCTCCCAACATCGTTTACCCTCCTACCTTTCCATTGTTTTCTCTGATGCAGGTCTTTCACTTCTCAAAGTGCAGTTTTTTCATTTTGAGTAACTTGAGACATCCCAAGTGGATTTTTTTTTTAAGATTTATTTTATTTTTATTGGAAAGGCAGATATACAGAGAGGAGAGACAGAGAGGAAGATCTTCCATCCGATGATTCACCTCCCAAGTGACCGCAACGGCTGATGCTATGCCGTATGCCGATCCAAAGCCAGGATCCAGGAACTTCTTTCAGGTATCCCACACGGGTGCAGAGTCCCAAAGCTTTGGGCCGTCCTCAACTGCTTTCCCGGGCCACAGGCAGGGATCTGGATGGGAAGTGGAGCTGTCAGGATTAGAACCGGCGCCCATATGGGATCCTGGTGCAAGGCGAGGACCCTTAACCACTGCACCATCACGCCAGGCCCGTGGATTTTTTTTTTAAATCACTATCAACTCCCATATTTCCAAATGACTAGGCTTGATGGGACGGCATTAACTGCTGGGGAATGTACATCATCAGATCTCAGGAAGAATGCTGACTGCAGGCAGGTGGGGTAATAAAGCAGCAAGCTAGTCTGCACAGGGATGTTTAAAGGGTTAAAAGATGTTTACAAATTAGGCGGCTTTCCCTAAAGTAGCCTCCTAAAAGATTAGCAGAAGTGATAGGGTGGGAAGTAAAGATTAGCTATTTAAGCAAATAATTAGGACACAATTAAGGCCAATTTGGCCTCTTGCTGTGGGTAAATTAGACTCTGAGATAAACAGGCCACTTGCCCTCTGGAAAGAGGGTAAGAAACTTTACTATTTTCTTTTGAATTTGGTCTGATCTCCTTTGCTCCCTCAGAAATGTTAAGACTGAACCCTTTATCAAGTCTGTAATTGCTGGTCTAGAGCTTCCCACAGAGGGGGTCTTCACCGCCCTCACAGACACCCTGAATTCTGGAGCAACACACACATTAACGGAGACCAACATGCTTCCAGCAAGAAGGCCATTCACTTTTGGCATCTCTCACATCTAACACCCTGAAGAGAAGTTGTCTCTTCCTCCACATAGTGGCAGGGCCTGAGTATTCTGGTGCTTCTTGTGGCAACTGTCTTCCATTTGCCATACACGTGGGCACCCATGCATCTGAGAGCTGAGCAGCTGACAATCCATGGAGACACTTACTTTCAGCCACTTTTTTTTTTTTACCTCTTTTTTATTATTGTCATTTTATGATACAGTTCCCTAGGCCCTGGGATTTCCCTTTTCCCCTCCCCAAGTCCCCCACACCCACTGATTTCCCCTATATTATTACTATAGCATAGCTTTTCCATACACAGTTATAGGTCCATCATTGCGGGCATGGACCATGACAGGGTGTCCAGCATCCTATTGTCAAGATACAGTAAACAGCTTCATTGGGAGTCCATCCTTGTATGGACATAGATGCATACTGCATCCTCACATCTGAATATGATAGTCTCTATTATACAGTTACTATACATCCCCTTAAATGAAAAGCCACAAAACAAAATCAACAGGAAGAAAAATAGAAATTTACAACACCATGAAGTTAAATAACATACTACTGAATAACTAATGTGTTGCTGAAGAAATGAAAAAAAATCAAAAACCTTCTCGAAGAAAAATGATGCTACTGTATGATCTATGAGTCAATGAAGAATTTAATCAGAAGAAAGTGTTTTGAAGAGATGAAACTGATGAAAAAAATCAAAATCCATGATATGGTTCCAGCTGATTTTTGTTGGTGAAATGTGTCTCCAGTCTACTAATCTATGACAGTTGATTGATGAGTTTAAGCCATTTACATTCAGGGTTAATATGAATGGGTGGTAATTTGGTCCTGTCATTTTAGCAATGGGTTATTCATTGATTTAGTCTTCTGTTGTTATTTTACTGGGATGTTCTTCACATTTGCCTTTGCTTTTGGATTTAATGAAATCATGAGGGAAAATTTTCCTAATCTAGAGAAAGAATTGGGAAACAACATCCAGGAGGGGCACAGAACTCTCAACAGGCTTGATCAAAAGTGATCTTCACCACAACAGATGATAATCAAGCTCTCTTCAATCAAACATAAGGAAAAAATCCTTAAATGTGCACGTGAAAAAAAATCAACTGACATGTAAAGGAATGCCAATTAAACTCACAGGAAACCTCTCACAGGAAACTCTACAGGCCAGAAGAGAATGGAGTCACATATATCAGATTCTAAAAGAAAAAAATTGTTGGCCCAGGATAACATACTCGGCAAAACTTTCCTTTTGCTTTGAAAATGAAATGTTTCCACAGTATAAAAAAAAAATTAAAAGAATATTCCTCTTCCAAACCTGCCCTACAAATGATACTTAAAGATGTTCTCTTGACAGAGAAAAGGAATAATGCCCAGCCATTTCTTTTAAAAAGCAAGGTCCAGGCCTTGCATCCAGTGAGACAATGGTAGGGTATTACCACACTTTGCTCACATCAGACCATACCATGCTTAGCAGTGTTCAGCAGTAGTGAAAATGACTTTCCAAGGGTGACCTCTGAAAATGAAACTCTTTGCTTTTAAATTCATTGAAGTACTATCACTGTAATTAAATTCTACAGACTGATAACAGGTTCCTAAAGTTTGACTCTAATGTATCTTCTTACACACCTTACATGGGCCACTTGTTTCACACACCTTACTAACAACTAGCAGATTCCCAGAAATGTTTTTTTTTTTAAGGAACTTTTCATAGAAATTGAGAATTTCATGGAAGACTGAAAAAATCTTCAGTTTTCGATAATTGAGGGTTGTATCTTACACTAAACAGAAGCAAAAGAAATAAATCCGCTTGAGAGCAACATCCATTTCTCTCTTTTTAAAATTTTCTATTTGGGAAGCAGCGAGAGAGATTGCAAGAAGATGAGAGCTAGCTCTCATCAGCTGGCTCACTCCCTAAATGCTAGCAAGAGCTGCAGCCCACAGCCAGGAGCCAGGAACACAATCCAGGGTTCCCACACAATGGCACAAATCCAATGATTTGAGCCATCACTGCTGCCTCCCAGGTTTTGCATTGGCACAAGGTTAGGGTTAGGAGCCAGAACTGGGAATCAAACCCATGTATTCCCATGTGGGATGCAGGCATCCTTACTGCTAGACTAAACACCTGCTCCCCTAAGTTGGATTATTTTTAAGCAGACTAATACTGGACATTTCACAAATTGTAAGCCTCCCTGTTAAGTGCGCAAAAGTAACTATATTATGTTGTCACGTTAGCATACTCCCTCCCTTTCCATTTGAGCTGCTCATGCTCCTTAAAGAATAGGTTAAAATGGACAATGTTTAAAAAGATGGCATGGAAAAGAGTTATAAACTAGAAGTTCAAAAGAACAACCTTGCTTAACTAAGGTGATCTCAAGAAGTAAGCATTCGTTAAGTAAAATTTGCTTTCATTTAAAAGAGTGACAGGGTGTGGGGATGTGGCCTCATTGGCTTTAATCACTTCTCAGGATGCCCACACCCTGTATTGGAGTGCTGGTTTGAGACTTGGCCATTCCACTTATGATCCTGCTTCCACTGGTGCACATCTGGAGGGCAAGAGGCCTGCCACCCGTGTAGGAGATTCCGATGGAGTCCTCAGCTTGATTTCACCCTTGCCCAGCTCTGGCTGTTGCAAGGCTTTTGGGAAGTGAAACCACAGATGAAAAATCTCTCTCGCCTATTTCTCTAGCAGAAGCCAAGAGCCTAACTCCATCTGGGTCTCCTGTGTAGATGGAAGGCATCCAAACACTTGGGTCATCTGCTGCTGCTTTGCTCAGGAGAATTAGTAAGGAGCTGGATGGGAAGGGAGTGCATGGGGCGTTAGCATTGCAGACAGTGACCTGACTGGCTGCACTATGATGCTGACCTCTAGAGAGTTTTAAAACAAATGACAGAATAGCAGAGTTACAGCAGATCTTTTCTGGGGCTTTGTGTGTGAGCCAAAGTACAATATGAATGAATGAAACAAGTCTATCCTGAATAAAGCTGAAGCCATGAGACTACAGGATGAAACTGGAAATAGAGGAGCTTATGGAATGGCAGGGCTTCCAGTAACATGCTTTGTTTTCTCATTAGGGTCTGCCTGCTGCCACCAACAGACAGCAGCGACATGTACGGCCATCTGGAACAAACCTGTCCTAATGTCACCTGGAGCTGGACACACAACAAATTCTACTAGACAAGGCCCTTGAAGACTCAAGATACACTTCTCATGCTATAATTCACTTAGGCTGTGCCTCTCTAAGGCTGCTATTGGCAAAAACAAAAGTTGGAGAGAGATGCAAGCAATGTGGGCACCAGGGGTCTGCGGGCTGAAGGTCCTAAGTAGCCTCCAGAGGGGCTGCTTAAGGCAGCAGGCCTGTCTAAAGACAGAGATCTTTGGAACGTGTCCAGAAGTTCATTGTGTGTTAACTTTTTAAAAAGAGAAACAACAATATTAATAAAAGAAATTGTGTGGTTCCCTGTGGCCAGGTTTTTTAAAGGAACTTGGACATCTAGACACTACCATGGGTACTAAGCAAGGCCCGGGCATGGGCTAACCTAGGGAGGGTTAATCCAGGACCTGTCTAGAAAACCTGAGACACTCCCATGAAGACTTCTCACTAGGGCCTTGATTAAAAAAAAAAAAAAAAAAGATTTATTTTTATTGGAAAGGCAGATCAGATTTACACAGAGACACAAAGATCTCATGTCTGCTGGTTCACTCCCCAGTGGTTACAACAGCCAGAGCTGAGCTGAACCAAAACCAGAAGGCAGAAACTTCTTCTGGGTCTCCCACATGGGTGCAGGGTCCCAAGGCTTTGGGCCGTCCTCTGCTGCTTTCCCAGCCAAAAGTAGGGAGTTGGATGGGAAGTGGAACAGCCAGCACTTGCAAGATAAGGATTGAGCCGTTGAGTCAACATGCCAGGCCCTCTTAAGAGGTATTCCACATCCTAGTAACCACCAATAAGCTAAGTCATTTGATTAGAGAAAGGTGAAAAGCAGGAGGAGCTTAATGCTCACATACATTGTGGGAAAGCTCATTCAAGTGGTACCTGACAGGATAGAATGCTAAAACTCTAGTTTTTACATGGTTGATTTTGAATCCTGTGTGGTAGAAACAAAATTCATGTGAATTTTTGTGTGTTTTCCAAACTCTAACTAGTATTCCAGGAATAACCTGTTGGTTCTGATTATCAGGTCTCCAGTGTGATAAGTCATCAGAATTTGACCCCAAGACCACCTGCAAATAACAAGCACTCAAGCACACACATGCTGAGTCTCAGAATTCCTCATACAGTCCATCCTGATGAGGTTTTGCTAGGAAAGTCAAGGCTCAGACTCCATGAAAAAAACCAGCTATAATCCCTTTGAAGATACAAAGACTAGAAAACCAATGTTTTCATCCAAGTGTTAAGATTTATTTGCATAGAATTAAACAACATACTTCCAATTCTTTTAAGTTGCCACTTATCACTCCCTTTTTCAACTTTGTGCAGCTTTAATATTCTTTATTCTCTTTACACATCCTCTTTTCAATTTTGTGTGGAAACAAAGCTTTAAAAAAAGCCTTCAGCCTGCAAGTCTGATGACAAACTTGCCCCTGCACTGCATCTACACCAATAACAGAGAACTTGTCTGCTCTACAGACATAAGGTGAAACACTTTTTGAAACTGCTGCCTATCAGGCTGAAATGTGGTAGGAACACAAGTCTAAAGTACAAAGATTACATTTAACCACCTTCCTGGTGTTGCAATTAAGTGCCTTCTGAAGCCTAGTGTTTTTACACCAGGCAATGAAGCAACTCCACTGGTGGACGCGGAATTGGCCCTAGAGAGAAAATCGATACTAAGTCTGGCTGCCGTTTTAATTCCCAACACTACAGAAAGGGGTGGGGAGGAAACAGCTACTCTCTGCCCACTGTTTCTGACCCTGAATCACGGGCTTAACTTCATGAACTTTATAATTCCCAAGAAAACAAGAGAACCTGTCCTCTTGGCATCACAAGAAAGATGAACTAATATTTACTCGATGTTCTTGAGATCACTTGGCTGTAATGATCAGGATCTTTCGTGCCGGTTAAAAAGAGAGAAATAGGGGCACCTCACCCAGACACCAAATCTGAAGGTTTTTTTTTTTTTCTTTTTTAAAAAATGGTCTTTACTGCTTTTTAAAGAAAGATTTCTGTTGAGGATCACTGACGTATTGAGTCACTCCTCCACGGCGAGCACTCTGCCAGTTATTTCCCATTTTATTTATTTCATAATTAAATTTAGACAATCACAGAAACAGTGGGGCAGACGGAAGACAGCAAGGTCCATCATAAAGGCATCACAAACACCTGCCTTTGACCACACTGATGCAGTTTCTGTCCCTTCATATTTTTCATCTTGTTACTCTTTCCAAAGAGCTCCTGGGTGCCTCAAAATCAAGTTACAGCTGAATCCTGTGACTCCAGTCCAGAACAACACCAGCACAAGCACAGAGCTTCAGGGAACCCCAATATTTATTCTTCTGTTTTTATCACCCACATTCACTGTGAACAATACAGAACTCAATTTTGTAACCAAAACAAAACCTGTATTCCTCTCCTAGGATGAGTCTAACGACATGAGGATAATTAAAATTCAGTGTACAAATGACACCAGATATCAAACCAATGCAAAAGCACTTAAAATTTCTCTCAGGAAACAGAGAAGCAGAATCAATGCTGGCACCTAGTGGCCAGCCAGAGACGCCAGCGTACTACAAAACTGAGGTTGTAACCCGTCTCCCTGTCTGGAACAAGGCCATCTCTCTCGAACATCCTGTGAAAAGCACAGCAACATATCCCAAGAAACCCTCCATCTGAGCCCAGGTCAAGTGCTGGAATACAGTGACCAAGACTGGCCTGTGACACAGACCGACTTCACATGAAATTTTCCTTTGCCCATTTAAAGTCGGTTTGCCAGTCCTAAGGCCCAGTAGGGATGACAAGGGAGATCATGGACACGCCCAAAATGTGCATCCATTCAGAGTGTATACACAGTGATCTTGATATCAGTAGCCTCAAACACCTCCTCAATCATCGCAGACACATGTTCCCACTGCAGACGATCAAGACCGCATCCAATCCTGAAAAAGACAAAACACCTCCATTGGCCGTGATGAAGGAATCCTGCAAAGTACTCTTTCCCCTTTACCTCTGAGCTGCACCTAACCACAGCATAAAGACAGGTCATCTCATCTCCCACACACAGACCCCACAGAAAGAGTCTGGAAGTCGATTCTTGCTGAGTCACCCAAGACTTTTCCTAGACAGATCCAGCATCCAACAGCTGTATATTTCCTTTGCCCACAAAGTCTCCAGTTATTTCATCCTGCACTTAGAACTGTGCAGCTCCGCCATGACACCAGACTATCCTTCTACATCTACTGATGCAAACTGACTGTGGATCAACAGGAAAAATTGTACTTATGATAATGGAATGTGAAAAAAGAAAAAAAAAAAGGTAAGAGGGACAAGATCTATGCAAAATAAGAGAGATTTGAAATGACATGCTGGCTGCAATCCAGCAGTAAGGTCCTTGTAACACTCTGGCAAGCAACCTCCAGCAGCCCATAATATTCTACGATCTGACACCTCTCTTCTAACATGTTACTTTATTGATCTTTAACTTCCTTAGAGAAAAATAAGGCCTAAAACTGCTAATTTCTTATCATAATGTGATAATTAAGTTCCTGAAGAACTATGACACATACACAAGAGTTTCTGATATATAAGCCATGAATATACTGAAGACCAGTTCAAGAATGGGGACACTGTAGCCACAAAGTCACAAAAAATCAGAGTAGCTCAGGGCTTTGAATCAATCTGCATGCCATCACTGACTAAAAGCTACTCATGCAAGAGGCACTGCAGAGGTGAGGCCTATTTCCTGAGAAGGAAACAAAGGGGCTAAGGAACCCAGTTTTATTGCCTTAAATTCCCAAAAGCAAGTCTAACAAGTTACATCAGGGACAGATCTCTTGGCTACCACCAGAGCTGACACGGTAAAAGTGGTAATGATTTACATACAACTTGTCCTGCCACAAGATTAATGGGGCACAGAGACAACAAGTAGCTTTGGTTTGGTTCTCTGGCTAAAGGAGCAGAGGCCAAGCCTCAAGCAGAGAATGCAGGGACTTCAACAAATGTGACTGAATGATGTTTCCTCACTAGCAAGGAGGCTGAGACAGGGAATTATTTGGCTCATTCAAGTCAAGCTAGAAAATGCCTATTTCTTCACATAAAGTCAAACTGGGTCACTGGCATTTTGAAATTTGCTCATCTGGAAATCCTCCTCTGTTGTTCGTCTCTGGATAACACAGTAAACCCCACCAATGAATCAAATCTTCACCTAGAACCCCAGCTTTCCTTGCCTGGGCATGGAGAGGTCAGTGACGCCATTTTGGAGACAATGGGACTTCATGGCCTCTAAACTCTTTCGTAGGTTTTCATAAGTCGGCTTGTGTGAAACCCTTTTCTTTGTAATCTGAACACAAAGAAAAAATTCAAACTTTGTTATTCCAAAATGATAGCCCATTAAAAAGCATTACATTTGCCCATATCCTCATAATTTAACTTGCATTTTTGCAAGATAATTAATCTTGAGTAGGGAGGACAAATGTCCTACCGCTCCTTCTATACTGTTAGAGGAGATTCCCAGGAAAACCCACTAAGAGGGCTAAGACGTCTACACTCAGCCTACTGAGAAGTTTCTTTTTTTAAGGAATGACAGGTTGCCCCTACTGTCACTTGCTGCTAAACCAAGTTAGAGAATATCTTTGTGTCACTTCCAAAGATAAGGGGAATATCTACAACAAGGAAGAACTGATACCACCTGCAAATCCTGTGAACCTGTCTCTGGTTGCTCAGAAACCATGCTTGCCTGCTTTTGGTTTCCCATAAAATAGCAACAAGTAATGTTCCCAACTCTAGAATGAAAACTCTAGCAGTCACACCAGCCTTAAAGAATCCAGGGTACATCTCCCACTTAGTGCACTGTGCACATCAAGCTGACAGTGAGTAGGCTGTACCATGACCGAGGAAGCTGGCCCTTGCTGAAGCCAAAGGCCATCTGGTTAGCTGGAGACTCCCACACTCAGGAACAGGCAGGAGAAGAATGGGTATTACTTAACACAGGATTTGACAGGAGGGAGTCAAAGAGAAACTCCTTTGGAGAATCTGGCTCAGGAGACACTGCCGTTTCCATCCCACCGTAACCAGAAGGAAAATATGGGAGGCATCCTGCAAGTCTTGGGACAAAAGCCTGTAGTGGATGGCACCATACTGTGTCCACAGAAACGGGATACAGCCACTCATTCCTTTTTAACCCAAGGATCCCCACAGCACCACCACTGAGCTGTCACATGAGCTTTCTGACATCCTGGCTATCTAGAAGGCAGCACTGTGCTCAACACAGTGTGGCCCAGCTGTTTGCACTCCTCAGAACTTGGCCCCATCTTACCAAGTAATATACATATCGACCATCTCTCTTCAGAACAGCCACTTCTCCAGACTTCTTTTCTACAAAAAACAGTTACTTAATACTAGAGGGGGGGAAAAACCCAAAAAAACCACAACATCACTCTGCGTTCCTCAATTTTTTAGAGTATTTACAAATCATAGTCTACCTCAAAACTACAACTGATTTTTCGTCAAGGAGAAACTGTCTCCTTCAGACTCTGTTCCTAGTCAGTGTCCCGAATGCTCTGTTCCGTAACTGAGGCTTTCCCACAATTGTGCGTCTTCACACTCCAGCTTTCTTCTGCCCCTGATTTCAAATTGAGGACACTTCAAAGACTTTGAGAAAGTTGAACTGAAGAGTAAGTTTACTATACTACAAAAAAAAAATTCATAACCATGCATAGTTTTTTCACAAGATATATCTTCCATGGTCTTTTGAGAGTACCTAGTATGCACAAATTTCAAATATTTTTGCACCAAAATATACACTTTCTGGTTCTACTTGCATAAACACTTAGCCATTTCAAAAGTTTTACATTGCCTTGAAAATTTCAGAAAAGCACATTATTTTTCACTTGTCAAATGTGTACACATTCAATAACCATCTTTTTTTTTTAGACGTATTTATTTTTAGAAAGGCAGGTTTATAGAACAAGGATGAAGAAAGTTTTTCAAGCACTGGCTCACTTCTCAAATGGCCTTCACAGCCAAAGCCGGACTGGTCTGAAGCTGAGAGCCAGGAGCTTCTCCTGTATCTCCCACGCTGTGTGCTGTGAACCAAGGACTTGGGCCATTCTCCACTGTTTTCCAAGCCATCAACAGGGACTGGATCAGAAATGGAGCAGCCCGCAAGAGATGCCAGTGCTGCAGGCAGAGGCTCAGCCTGCTACATCACCACACCAGTCCCTCAACAACCATCTTTTTATGCACCAATAGTTGTGAGAAACATTATGAGAACAGTTTAAAAAGAAAAATCTCAATGCACCTATGCTACGAAGCAGAAGGAAGTTGTTTTAAGTCTAGCCACAGAGTCACTGGCAGATACTAATCTGGCAGGCTCGGAGTGATCTGAGAAACTACTGCAGAGGCTTCACCTGTGACACCAATGCCCATCTCCGCTCTAGTCACTGCCGCAGTTACAGGAGGAGTCCAGAAGGAAGAGCCTTGTGAGGAGTAAGTAGTGGACTAAGAAGCAAGAGCATCTTGAATCCCATGATGATACTGAGGCTTTAAGAACTCTCAAGGGCATTAAAGTTTTCAGAGAAGTGCAGTTAACATTATCAAGACAGTATTAATGATCATGCAGGAAGAGATGAGTAATTTCTACAAGAATTCAGGTTTAGGGACCAGCACTGTGGCACAGCTAGTAAAACTGCTGCCATTAGTGGTAGCGCCCCATATGGGCACCAGTTTCGAGTCGCTGGTGCTGCTCTTCCAACCCCACTGCCTGCTGACGTGCCTGGGGAAGCAGAAGATGGCCCAAGTCCTTGGTTTCCTGCACTCATGCTGGAGACTCAGAGGACGTTTCTGGCTCTTGCAGTCACTTGGCGAGTAAACCCAATGGATGGAATCACCCCCTCCCAACCCAGGGCACTATAGCTCTTTCCATTAAATAAAAAAAAAAAAAAAAAAAGAAAGAAAGAAAGAAAAAAGAATCCATGGTTGCATGGTTGGTGTTGTAAGAACTTAAATTAGTAATTATTCTTCTGGAGGAAAAAAAAAAAAAGATACTCTGGGCCTGGCACAGTAGCCTAGTGGCTAAAGTCCTTGCCTTCCTTGCACGTGCCAGGATCCCATATGGGCGCTGTTCTAATCTCAGCAACCAGGCTTCCCATCCAATTCCCTGCTTGTAGCCTGGGAAAGCAGTAAAGGACGGGCCAAAGCCTTGGGACCCTGAACCTGCATGGGAGACCCAGAACAGGCTTTGGGCTCCAAGCTTCGGATTGGATCAGCTCTGGCCACTTTTGGCTGCTTGGGGAGTGAACCATCAGACAGAAGATCTTCCTCTCTGTATATCTGACTTTGAAATAAAAATAAACTGTAAAGAAATTTTTAAGAAAAAGGTAATAGGAAGCTGTAAAAGCAGTTAGTCTTTAGAAACCTCCTCCGTGCTTGCACAGCTTAACAATTCAAGCCTGACAGCAGGGCAAAACAGGGATGCTGTTTTCAAAACTCACGCTGATTCAACAGTTCCTGCACTCCTCCAAATTTCTTCTTGAAGAGCACAGCTATCCCGGCCCCCATGCGACAATCCTCGCTGATGCAGTGGGCTAGGGAGTCCGTTTTGGGGCAGGCAAAAAGGTCTCCTTTCACATAAGTGATCTACAATGGGCAAAGGGAAACACAATGGTTCATTAGAGGCGGGAAAAGACTTTGGTTTCCCCCGTCTTCCGGCGCCCCTCCCACCCCGCCCCTTGCTATGGCTCCATGCCAAACCAAAATCCCGGGCTGTGAGGGGTTAACTCCCGCGAATTCAAGCACGTGGAAAAGGAAAAGTGATGGATGGTGCCTGCCTACGATTCTATTAGCCTCTCTCCAGTAAATCAGCTGGAGAGGAAAAGAACAATTCAATTATTGGCTTAATTAAAATGTGTTTATGCGCTTGACCTCAATTATTCCGAATTTCAGTTCACCAATAAGTTAATAGTCGTTACGCACTCTGCTTCCTTCTGGATCTTCATTAGTGCTGCTGGCCATGATACGGGATCGCTATTTCCAAAATTTAAGCGCTTCTGCAGCTATGAGAAAAGAAAAGCAGCCTCAATGATGATCGCGAGGGCCCTGAGTCCAGCTATCTTCTCCCACACCCCCGCAAAACGTTTGCCGCCGAGAGCGAGGCGGCTTTGGGTCAGGGAAGAGCCTGGGTCGTCTCCCGAGCTGCCTGAACGGAACCCGGGGCAGGCAGGACCGTCTCCTTTCCCCTGCAGGACGCCCCCCGTATTTCCCACTGTGCCTGGCTTAAAACACACGAGCAGGGCGTGGGGCACGGTCCGTTACACCGCTATCAGATGACGTGCGGGACAAGGGCGTACTGTGCCGCAGGTGCGAGAAAAGCGGCCTCTTTCTTTGGGATGAGATGCAAAAAGGCCCCATGTCCCCTATCCTAAGGCGGGCTACCGAGAGTGCAGTGCCTGTCTTGGGGTCCCCCGGGGAGGCTCGCTGAGAGCCTCCACGGACCGGGGCCAACCTTCACCTGGGAAAGAGTCCGCCGCTGGGAGGTGCCCGCCGGATCCGACCCCGGTAGGTGGGCAGCGGCGGGCGAGCCCCGACGAGGAGCCAATCCCGCCACAGTCCTAAATTGCGCGCAACTAAGATGGCCGCTCCCCTTCCCCTCGCCGCCACTCCGCCCCCGGTGGCGGGCGGAAACGAACTCCTCTCTAGCCAGCCAGCCGAGAGCGCAGCTCTTTGGTGACGGCCGCCGAACATCCGGCGGCAAATTCCGCGGTCTCCCGCCGCCCGGGCGTGCGTCAGGAGCTCGCAAGTCGCGAGCTGGGCGTGCGGCGCTTGCGCACTAGCTGCAGGGGTGTGTCCCGGGGGCCGCCTGGAAAGAGGTGGGCAGTTGGCCAAGGCGCCTGCGTAGTGCTGGACTTCAGGCGGCCGTGGACCTGCAGGGCGGCGAGGTCCCGAAGGCGCCTGCGTATTCCTGCGACCGGAGGCGGAGTCCCATCCAGGAAGCGGGCGTGGCGACCTGGGACGCCTGCGCAGTGTTCCTCCGCCGCGGGGGTGGGGCGAGCCCAGCGCCGGGGCGGGGGGCGTGGCCTTCAGGGCGCCTGCGCGGAGGCGGTTGGAGGGAGGTCCGATTCCCCTTTGTTCGGGTTCGCCATTTTGCGAGGCAGCGGCAGTGGCGGCAGCAGCGGCGGCTGGAGCCTCTGATTGGGTTTCGGAGTCCGGTACTGGAGCCAATCAGCGCGGGCAGCGAACCGGGGGAGCGAGGCACGGTGAGTGTGAGGAGCCAATATCCAGCGGCCCAGAGCCGGCCCCAGCGCCCCGATTGGCGGGTCTCGCTGACCACTCAGGAGAGGCCCAGGCACCCGTCGAGCCCGGGGAGTCGAGCTGAGCCTTAGCCGAGCCGGGCGGCGGGGGGCCCCGGGCCGGAACCGAGCGGCGCCCTGCGGGTCACTCCCGGCCCAGGCCTGCAGGGGCCGCCGCGCGCGCGGGCTGTCAGCCCAGAGGACAGGCCTCGTCGGGGTGCAGGGAGGGACGCGCGCCCCTGTGCGCCCCTCTTGAGGTCCAGGGAGGCTCTCGGGCGCCCGGGCGCGGGGGCCGCGGGGGGCGGCCCGGGCCTGGTGGAGACCTCTCCTGCCGTTCCCAAGCTCAGGCCGTCAGGACAGGAAGTGTTTTCCCTCGTTGCCCGCGTCCCGGAGGCGTGTGGGTCGGCCGCAGGTCTAGGTTAGGGGGAGACGCGCGCCCCGCAGCCCCCCGGTGCCCGAGCGCGGGGTCGGCCCGCCCCCGCCCGGCTGCGCGGCGTCCCGAGGCCGGGTGGGGGGTCCGTTAGCTCGCCCACTGCCCAGCCCTGCCCCGCCCGCCGGCCCGCGCGCGCGGTGACCACCGCCCCTTCGGGCTCGTCATTTCCTCCTTCCCGCCCCGGCACGCCGGGCAGCACCGCACACCTCGGCCTTGGTGTCTGCTCCGTGCGTGAAGGCTCAGTTCCTGCAAGAGGCATATTCCTGTGCATTCGTCTTAAACCCAGAGGCTGCTTCGTTGCAGCCCCGCTCCTTTGATCAGTGCCTTTCAAATACTTGGACATTTCGTGGTTGCTTGAGAGTGTCAGGTGTGAGTGTTGAGCTTACTCCCAGTATCAGTTGATTGGATGTTCCTCCAACCCCCGTACACTCCCTAATCCTTTCTTAATAGTTTCTGAGCAGATGTTTAGAAAACGGATAGTATTGGAGTGAGGGGAAGTCTCGCTTGGCAGCCAGTTCTGGAGCCAAGGGTAGGAGCCTGGGAATCCTCTTTGTGTGCAGCTGGAAGTCTCTAGGAGTAACTAGGAAACATTTCTGCCTGCTAGAGGTGACAGGTGAACAGCTAATGAGCGCCCAGCAGGTGGTGCTGCAGAGGGAGCCTGTCAAGGCTGTGGACTTCCCTACCAGCATCCGCGCTCACGTTCCTGTTCATCCGAATGAATGAATGAATGAATGGAAAGAGCATTGCTCGCAGAGAAATAAACTTGTGCACACGGATGAGATTTTGCTGTGTTTGAGACAGAAAGATGGGCTAGAGAAATGACGGGTGTCAGCGTTCAGGCAGAAAAACCCAGCTGGCTAAAACTCTAGCTAAGGAAGTTTTCAGCAGTTATTCCAAGGTTCAGGTAGGAGGAGGACTTGATTCCCCGCCCCCCCAAGATTGGGAAAAACAAGGTTCTGACTTGCTGCTTCTGTCTCATAACAGCTGCCTTCTTTCCAGGGAAAAATGGTACACTCCCCAAGCCCCCCTCCCCAGGACTCTTAAAAATTGTGTTTACTAGGCCTGGCGCGATTGCGTAGTGGTTAAAGTGCTCGCCTTGCACCCCAGGATCCCATATAGTCGCCGGTTCTAATCCCTGCAGCTCCACTTCCCATCCAGCTCCCTGCTTGTGGCCTGGGACAGCAGTTGAGGATGGCTCAAAGCCTTGGGACCCTGCAGCCGTGTGGGAGTCGTGGAAGACCTCCTGACTCCTAGCTTCAGATTGGCTCCAGTTCCAGCCGTCGCGCTCACTTGGGGAGTGAACCATTGGTTGGAAGATCTTCCTTTTTGTCTCTGTATATTCACCATTCCAATAGAAAAGAATAAATCATTTTTAAAAATTGTGTTTACTGCTCTGAAGCATCTTGTGCAGGTCCTGGCCGTAGCAAGTGGGTCTTCAGTATGAGTTGCTGGTTTTGGTGATCATACTGACTTCTGTCGTGAAACGGACTGACACAGAGCAAGAAACCTCTTGGGCCTTCTGGTATTCCCTGTCGGAGTGTCTGGGCCCCTGTCTAGGCTCAGCTTCCAATTCTAGCTTCCTGCTAATGCATAACTTAAAGAGGGAGAGGGGGTGATGACTCACCGTGTGGAAAGTCTGTTTGGCTCCTGGTTTCTGGCGCTCAACCTTGTTCTGGGGAGTCAGCCCGGCTTTGAGAGATCTCTATCTCTCATCCTTTTAAATTAAAAACAAAAAATCTAGTCCAGTGCTCTTTCTACTACCAAAACAGTTTATTTCACTTTCAAGAAAGTTTTTCTTTGTTTAAATCATTTTCCAAAATAAAAATACTTTTCTAAATCGTTTAATGCTTACATTATTAACATCACCCGATGTATCAACATGGCTTAGATTTGCCTTTGGCGGTCCTTGTTTGTGCTCATTTCCTTTGGAGTGCTTCACCCGTTCGTTGTCTCCTAACTAACCTTCTCGCCCTGAAAGAGCAGCTCAGAAGCCTACCTGGGTTCATCCCAACCTGAAAACTGTCTGCTGCGGGTTGCCGCAGGTTGCTGCGCCAGGTTGACTTTGTTCCCAGTGATTCCAGTGCAGGCTCTTCCTGCCTTACTCAATAGGCAGGGTTAGGTCAGGCTCTTCTCGGTGATTTTGTTTCTAAGCATGTAGAGTAGGGTCTAGCACATGGCATGTTCCTGAAGAGACGGAGCAAATTAGGGATGCTCGAACGTAGAAACCTCTAGAGGGATGAGAAACTAGACTGTTAGCAAACAAAGTAGCCTGGTAGAACTTGGTTTAAGGTTTATTTTATTGGAAAGGCGAATTTACAGAGAAAAGATCTTAAATCCATTGGTTCATTGCGCAGGTGGCTGTAATGGCTGGAGCTGAGCCGATCCAAAGCCAGGAGATAGGATCGTCTTCCTGATCTCCCACATGGGTGTGGGTCTCCAGGCTTTGGGCCGGCCTCCACTGCTTTTCCAGGTCACAGGGAGCTCAATGGGAAATGGAACAACTGGGGTGTGAACCAGCACCCGTGTGGGATCCCAGTGCATGCAAAGTGAGGATTTAGCCACTGAGGCATTATGTTGAGCCCAAGCTCACTTTTTTAAATGGAGTGGTAAATACTGAGGTGCATGTTAAGTTTTTCTGTTATGTTTATATGCTGTTTACCCTCACTTATAGTAGGACAAAATATATTTCTTACCGTAGTTGTTAGAAATCCAAAGTTAGAAAGCTGCACTTCAGTACTTGATACTTGTTAAATATGCTAATCTAGGGGCTTTTCCCTACTTAGACTTTACACTTTCTGGAAATGTTTGCTTTTAAGTGTGTAGAGCCGCATAAACTGAGTTCCTGGTGCTTGGCTAAGTGTCAGCTTCTGCATTGAAACCATGGGATGGAGATTCTTTAGGAAGAACATTTTCTTTCATGTTAGCCAGAATCAACCCACATTGCAAATCTTTTTTTCTTTCCTAGTAAAATGTATTTACAGCCTTTGTTAGCAGCAAGAGCTAGACAGACAGGCAGACTTAATTTTGTCATAACCCTGGGCAGAGAACTACTTCAGCGTGTCAGACTGTATTACAGTTCTGCCAATTGACGTTCCCAGTAGCAGGAACATATGGCTTCCCTCTAGGCCCTCACTGTTGGCAGGCTCAGCATCATGCTCCAAGCTGAGTGACTCCCTCAGCAATGGGAGACAGTTGCTGCTGGATTCGTAGCTGCTTGCTTTTACTCGGAAGTACTATCAGTGGGTTTATATGTTCTTAAGTTGGAATGTTTATAGTCAATTCTATATAGTTCAGGTTATCTTTTAGTCTTGCAATTAGTGGATTTCTGGGAACTAGTCAAGGAAAGATCTTACATAGGCAGGGGATTTGGAGGTTGGGAGGCTTTTTAGATCAGCTTCACTGAGACATAGTTTAGGACAAACATCGTTTTATGCATTGATGAATTCTGATAAGCATATACATCTGTATAAACACCAATACAGTGAAGATGTAAAACGTTTTCATCATCCCATAAAGTTCTAATTGTGCAAGCCATTCAGCCTCCTGGAGAACTCTTTGTTCTCCAGTCCCAGGGAACTGCCGATCTACTTTCTGTGGCTAACTGCTGTTGAATTCTCAGGGTGACACATAAATAGAAGCAGGTACATCTCTGCAAGCCGAACCACTTACCTGACTGAAAATTTAATTTTCTGTACTGTTCACAAAATTTCCTATGTCTACTGAATTTCAGAATAAAAAGTGTCAGATTTGCTTCAGCATAACACAGAGAAAAAGTGGAAAGTGGCAGAAATACAGGGAAGCTAGGATTGGTCATGGTGAAGCTGGGTACTGGGTATGGAGGTTCATATACTATTCTGTTTTTGACTCTGTGAAAACTACCATGATTAAGTTTAAAGTTCTACAAAGAGGGTAGATCATTGTAGATAAACAGATTCAATTAATGTCTTGAAGTTCTTTTTAAGAGAAAAGCGTCATCTTTATAACTTTTTTATTGGAAAGATTTACAGAGAGAAGGAGAGACAGAAAGATCTTCTATCTATCCCCTCCCTAAAAGGTGGCAGTGCTTGGAGCTGAGCCAATTCAAAGCCAGGAACCTCTTTCTGGTCACACATGAGTGCATTGTCTTCAAAACTTTGGATCATCTACTGCTTTCCCAGTCCATCAGCAGAGCTGGATGAGAAGCGGAGCAAGCCAGGACACAAACCATTG